GTTCAGGGAAATTGCATTTAAAGTTGGAGAAGGTCAAACTAAAAAAAGATTTTTCGGGGCCATGACTAGTTCTCGAACTTGTTTAGTAGCTGGTGCGATGAAGCACACAGAGCTGTGGGTGGCAGGGAAGGGGAGCCATCCCCAGTCTGAAAATGTAGACCTTTGAGGCTCATTCTGCTTTTCATCAGTTGTAAGGTCCATGCCTCCCCACCCCCACACCCTGCCCTCTTGGTGCTGTTGAAATACCTCCTTTCAAGACATGAGAATTAATGGGCTCATGTGTGTGGCTTTTGCAGAACATAGTAAAAGACTATGTGTCTGAAAAACGGGCTTACTAAGATTGCCTGTTTAGTGTTTCTGAGAAAAGCAAACCAGATAATGTGTGCAAACTGATAAGGATAATAGCCGGACTACACAGAAGCTTTGGCGAATACCATTAGGCTCCCATGAATGCCTAGAGTGGCAAAGGGGAGTATAAGAGCTCCGGGGTGCAAGCATCCATCTGGCATCAGCAGTGCTTAGCATTCCTGCATTAGACTGAGTATCAGCATAGTCCCCTATGCAGTGACTAACAAGGCCCAGAAAAGTTGCCCCAGACAGATGCACTGAGAAAGACAGCCTAAAGCTGCAGCATGGGTCTATTCTAAACCCAGGTAAGCTTGTCTATCTGCGCCACACAAAGCAAGTTACAAGTTTCTTGAGTTCAGTTCCCTTCAAGCACGTCTTTCCCAAGTCCCTGCAACCTGCCAGGTTCTGTGTGGGCACCGAGGAGTTATATATGAATGTGGAATGGCCCCTTGCCTCCAAGTGCTTAGAGACTTGCAGACACAGAAGTCTGCACTGCTCTGCAAACCACACGGGGGACACATGATCAAAACTGTGGGGTCCTGTGGGAGAGTAGAGGCGGTGAGGTAGCATGTGTTGTGGTTTGACTGTAAATAATCCCTGTGCTTAAATACTTGGTCCTCAGCTGTTGGCACTATTTGGGAAGGTAAATCTCAGCTTGGCATGAACTATGCATGATTTCACATTCAAGGTGTAACAGGGTGGGGTCAGGGCAGGAAGCCTAGAGGAAGGGAAAAGCACCAGGGGAGATGAGAAGGATGAATTACCACAGCCTGAGCAGATCAGAGGAATGGCCAGTGTAAGGTTAGATGAGGCAGCTGTGGTGGTGAGTGCCTTATAACCCTTGGGAGGACAAAGCAGGAGAATTGCAAGTTCAAGCCTAGCCTAGGCTATGTAGTGAAGCCCCCTCTCAAAAAACAAAACAAAACAAAACAAAAAAACAAAAAACAAATCTAAAACAAAAGCAGAGAAGCAATTCTGGGCAATTAGTGTTCTGGGGTTCTGAGGCAGAGATGGAATAGTGGCAGATGAACTTGGAAGGGTGGGTAGGTTGGGGCTGGGCAAAGGATGATCTTCAGTACAGAGGATCATCTGACAGCCCACTCCTGGCTTCACAGCAAGGCCCCGGGCCTGGTCACAGTGTATACTACCCACAGTCGCTGACTGATAAGGGAGAGGCCTGGCCAAGGCCCCTGAGCCCACTTTTCAGTTGAGCTGCAATGCACACAATTACCTCCCATAGATATGGTTATTGACCGCATCTCTAAAAGATACAGCTCCAGGAAGGCTGATCAGAACAGAGTTTATCTGGAACCAGGAGGTGCCTGGGAAGGGCGATGCAAGACTGGGTACCATTGCAGGCACAGGGAACTCATCAAAGGTGCTTGGATCCTAAGCCCTTTACAGGGCTGATGGAATTTATTTCCCTCTGCCACAGATGTCCCTTTACTACCCTTCAGTGGCTGGGACAATCCCAAACCTCCTGGGGAGTTGTGATGTGAGTTGGCCCACAATGTGGGCTGAACAGTTGAATGTGCCCGACCATCACATTGAGCCAAGTAGAATTACATAAGAAGCACAAGCTTAGGACAGAGAAGGTGGCAAACAGAGGGACGTTTTAAGAAAGAAGGTAGCTAAGCAGATGGCTCTGAAAACAGCTCACTGTTGAAACAGTAAAAGGAGGGGAGGGAAAGCGACATTTGTTGGTGGGTTTTATTTGTAAGCCTTTTTCTTTTCCTCTAGCGAAGGAAAACACAAGCCACGTTTCCCGCGCCATGTAACCAACATAAACCTCAAGCAACTCCCACGAGAGAGAATGCAGTCTACTGTATTCGAGTTGGTCCTTAAATATTTCTTCAGGACCGTTTCCCTGTCTGTATTAATAGCCAAGTTTCCTGGGGGGTAGAGCTGCCCCAGGCTCTCTCGGACCGGGCTATTTATCATGGCAGCAGCTGGAGATAAGCTGGACACAAAGGCTTGTGTCTCAAGAGGGTTGGTCCCTAGATACGGAAGGTGGAGGAATTTTCTCATTAGTAGGAAGTCTGGGCTTTCATCATGCGCCCCTGGTGCAAATGGCAGCGGGGAGGAAGGCTCACTGGATGGCCAAAGACCTCCACAGGGCTTTCACTGGACAACTGGAAGTTTCCAAAATGAACTTTTCTTGGGAGATGAAAAGCAGATGTGCCACTTACACTTAGGGAAGAAATGAGTCTGCCCACAGGAGTTGTCTGCCCTTGTCCCTACTCCCAGGAGAGCCACAGTGGCGGGTGCTCCGCATGAGGTACTCTACACCTGGGAGGGCCTTGTGGGGAGCACTGCTGAGTGAAGCCTAAGGGATCCCCGAGGGCCAAAATCTCATAGATAATCATTCTGGCCAGGCTTGACTGGGAAACTCAGGTGTGGGATGGCAGGGACCGTGAAGAGAGAATGAAGACTACAAAGTTCCTCAGCATTCTCAGTATTCACATACCTCAGAGGGATTCCAAAATTGGTGGGGGAACTGACCAAGAAGGAATTCTCTGAGTTTGGGAGAGCATCTGGGGCTATTTAGAAGTGCTAATTCCATTACATTTGAATATCAGCTGGGGTTCCCCACCAGCATTTCACAGACCCTGGGAACAAAGTAGAGCTGTCAATGGCCTCCAGTAGACCATCAATGTCCCTTAACAGTTGCTGTAAACCCAGAGGAAATGGACATTCTTCCAGTCCTAAGTGGCCTGCTTTGGGTGGTTCTGCCATGCTCTAAGACATGTGATGGTATAACATCTACAGGGAAGGCATGGCACCCTCATCCAGTCAACAGAGAGGACCCTGTATCATTCACCTCCAGGTTCCAAATACAAATGCAACCTTTGTCCTTCTAGTTTCTAAACCAGTGGCTCAGCTTAGAAGACAGCATTAAAAAAGGGTCATGTGCACACCCACTTCTACATTCAAGTTTCCCTAAAAACTTTTTTCATAACCATTTCTGCGTACTTGACTATAGGCAAAACAAAACAAAACAAAAACAACCAAAACACCCAAACCAGAAACAGCTTTGCCCAGTGGTGGGAAAGAAGGGCATATAACAGGCACATTTCACACCTGAATTGATGACAGCAGCAGATCCCAAAGCCATCCAATGGGAGAGGTTGCCTAAAGAATGGTCACTGGAGCACACACTTAAAGAAAAATGTTGCTATTGTAAGCATTTTCAATGCATTTTCCCATGCATGGGATACCGCTGGGTTGGTTTTTGTGTTACTCAGGCTTTCTTGGAATAACATAGCTGTGCCCCACAGCAGGACAAGCAAGCTAGCTTAGAAAGCCCAGTTTCTCTTCTTTGCCACCTCTGGGAAAACTCAATGCGATGCAGAAAAGGTCAGAGCCTTCACCTCATGTAGAGATAGATGCTCCTGACACAGAACCAGGGAGCCTCTGCATTCTGGACTATAGACTCCAAACCCAGGTTTAGTCATGGCAGAGAATGAAAGGTCTAGACAGAAGGGCCCCCATCTTCTCCCTCTGGCAATATGAATAGCTTGTGTGAACACAATGGAAGCCCCTGTCCCTCCCTTCCTGTTTCCTCTCTATATTCCTCCCTTTGAGGAAGTCAAAGGCTTGACTGACTCTCTAGAGTAATGGTTCCCAACCTTCCTAGTGTTGTGACACCTTTAATACAGTACCTCTTGATGTGGCGACTCCAACCATAAAATTATTATTATTATTATATTTTTGGTTTTTCGAGACAGGTTTTCCCTGTGTAGCTTTGGAGCCTATCCTGGCACTCACTCTGGAGACCAGGCTGGACTCGAACTCACAGAGACCTGCCTACCTCTGCCTCCTGAGTGCTGGGATTAAAGGCATGTGCCACTAACACCCGGCTCCATAAAATTATTTTCATTGCTACTTCATAACTGTAATTTTCTACTGTTATGAATCATAATATAAATATCCATGTTTTCTGACAGTCTTAGGTGACCCCTTGTGAAATGGTCATTTAACCCCAAAGAGTCATGGCCCACAGGTTATGCTGTTCTATAGCATAACTCCTCTGGACCCTGAAATCCAATACCAGTAAAGGTAAAGGGACTCCACACCAACTCTTGTTCATTGACATCAGCAAATGACATCAAGGGCCGTCCCAGTCCAAGCAGCCATGGGAGAACAATTTCCACAAAGTTAACAGCTTTGAGTATTTTTCTGCTAGCCACTCCCTGTAAGGGAGCTGCTCTGGTCCATGAGGGAAGAGTGTACAAGCCCATGCTGCTCTATTCCTTTGGGATGGAAGCAGGCTGTGGAACCAAGGGTAAGATCTTCAAGGATTCAATGGGCTTTTGTGTGGTCTTACAGCTTCCCCTCAGGGAAGACTGGACATGTACACAACACGTTGATGGTCCAGAAACAGTCATAGGTGGAAACCCTCACAGCAGTCAGCCAATCAGTGGCATAAAAGACGGCCCATCCTAATTCATCCTCATTAGTCTAAGAGTCTCAAGTTGGAGGTTTGTTTACAGTAGTCCTCTTCATCATCCCTTCCAGCTCTCTCATTCCTCAGTCTTGCAGGTCAGCAAAGCAAAAATGTCATGGCTATGCACCTACCCAGGAAGCCTCCAGGAGCCCAGGACTCCAGAATTTTCCACCAGTCAGGAGGAAAAAAAAAAAAAAAGACAAGCCAGAAAAACACATTATCATTTTATTATGCAATTTCTTTCTACAAGAAAAATCTCTAAAAATATAAATATGAGCTCTCTAAAAAATACTCAGAATAGAACTATAATCTTGTTCTTCCAAACAGGGATAAAACTTGTTCTGTAAAAGATGATGGGTTAAAAACATGTCTTCATATCTCCCAGATACAGAATATTCACAGGTACATTTCTAGAGAGAAGTGTGGGCTGGGACAGGGGAGGAGATGCCCTCTTTCCAGGCTTCTGGAAGCTTATTTTGTGATCTATCAGGGTAAAGCTATGGGCTGAACAGCCCATACAATGAATCTGGAAAGAAGTGGGGGAGACAAAAGCTCCAAGGCCCTAGCTTCTTCAAACATAGAAGTTAGATCCTTCATTCCTCCCCATTAGCCTGTCCCCCTCCCACCCCATGCAGATCAAACTACCCCAGGACTAAGCCCCAGAGGATCTTGGTTCATTGTGAAGGCTGCCATGCTAGTCCAGACTGCTGAGATGGTCTTTGAGTCTGTTGGGGCACTAGACGGAAGAACTGATGTAAGTCAAAGCTCTCAAGAGGATTTGTTCCTGCTGGTCCCTGGGAAGCACTTAGCCCCTAGCACCAGGCAATATCTGCAGCATCTAAGACAAGGCTCAGTCTCAGAGGACCTCCTGAGGTAGCAGCATCACTTCTGTAGTAGGGAGATGGCCAAGACCCTAGGAGTTGGTGTTGGCATCCATGGCACCCAATTCAACATCATGCCCAAGTCTAAAGTACTCAGAAGTTTCCTTGTCAGGGGTCCTGGGACAATATGGTGGGATCTTTTGGCTAATCCTGGGCCTGAGGACCAGGATTCTAGCAGTATCCTGGGTGCTTAAGCAAGCCAAGCTTCATTCTGTTGGTCTTAGGCAACCATATCACTTAGGCACCCTTGGGAAGGAGCAGCCCCAGAGGGCAGCCACTGACTGAGCATCCCATTGGAGGAGCAGACCACGATTCTGGTATGCAGCACTCAGATTACACTGAACATGTGCTCTCGTGCACGCCTAGACTTTCCACCCCCACAGCCTGAACTCTCTGTTTTGGGTAGTATTACAAATCACTCTGGGAAAAATTCATAGATCCTCAGATGCTAGCCCTAAGGACTTCTCTAACTTCAGATGTCACATCCTTGGGATGTTCCTGGAGCAAGGCACGTGTGCTACATATGTGCTAACAGTCCTGTGTACTCTACCAGGATCCTCAGATGCCTGGCTGCATGTATTCTCATCTGAGAGGAAGAGACAGGACTATGCAGGAAGCATGGCATGAGCTCTTGCATTCCTGGCAATGGAAGATGGGGCAAGAGAAGAGGGTTGGAGGGCAGAGATGGTGGAAGCCATACAGCTGCTTAAGCAAGGATATGAGAGGGAAACCTCCTCCCAGGGATCCTGCTGAAGCCTCCTATTCCGGTTCTGCAGGAGTTAGCGCAGATGTCTGCTGGGTGGGAGGAGGGAAGCACGTTGGTGATGTTGAACAGACAAGTGAGACCTGTGTGCCCTAGTCTCACAGATGGGAAGTCAAGCAAGCAGAAAAGGGAGGACCACAGGAAGTAGAGCAGATGACTGCTACACGGCCTGCTCTGGCTGGATGCACCATCCCCAGCCTCCTTGTGGGGCATTGACCTCCTTGTTCGAGAATAGGGATGTCCTCTTCTGACTACAAAGATCCTTGTGGCCAGGATCACTACAGAGTCTCCTGGTCACAGGAAGACAACATGATAGGGCCCCTGGAGGGAGAAAGGAACACAAAGCGAGTTAACCTGGAAGGCAGGAGCTGGCCAAGGGTTGACAAGCCTTGTTGGTTCCTTACACAGATCCGGACAGCAGAGGCAGAGGAAGATCACTGTTATGCAGATAAAGCACAGAGGCTCGGGGTATCTCTGGGCAGGCCTGGGGCTGCAGGGAATTCAGGCAACCTCAGCACAAACACAAAGAAGTGCTCTCACTTACTGACAACTGCTTTGCCTCCACAGTCCTCATCACATTCCAGTCTCTCACATGCTACACCCTGGCTCTCATACATACTGTTCCCAGGCCCCCAGCACTGCCTAATTCTTGGTGTGGAGTGGCCTGAGAAGCTGCTCTGATTCTCAGCGATGCCCTTCTCAGTCCCTACTTTACTCTTCTCTATGATCTCTGCTCCTGTAGGACTATTCCATGTTCCCGAGCTCTCTCTTGAACATCAGAACACTCTCTGCTGCTTCGGCAGGGGCCTGCCTGCCCCTGTCTTTACACACACAGCAAGGAACCCCAGCACAACTGCCCATACCATTGTCCTAAGTGCCTGTCCAGAGACATAGGGGTTCATCTAACTGATGGGAAAACCTTGGGAACCCTGGTGACAAGGTTCAACCATTGAGGAAGCCCTCAAGGTCCCAAGACTCAGAAGAACTTCTGCTGGCCCTAACCCAGAAACAGAGGAAAGGTGGTGGCTAGAGGTCCACACGGCCTAGAAGCTGAAGGAACTATGGGGAGGTTGTGTCAGAGTGTAGCTTTCCAGGCACGATCCCATCATCAAGCCAAACCTACCACTCTTCCCTAGCTGTATTTCCTTCAAGGCAGGGAGTCCTTGGACCACTATGGAGGAAAGGGACAGAATCAGGGCTGGAGGATGGGGTGGCTGGATGAAAGAACAGATAGCATATGCATCTGATCAGACAGACAAAGAGAATTCCTGCCCGATCCATCCTCCTAGGCTGGTGGCCCTATAATTCAGTAGGAAGTTGGGACAAGCCTGATGGTGGATGAGTTCCAGCAGCAGCCAGAAGATCTTACAGAGAAGTAGGATCGGAGATGCCACCCGCATCCTTTTACCACTCTGCAGACTCCTTAACTGGGACAACATGTGACCATCTGGTCCTGCAACGCCTCAGATAGAGTGGGCTCTGCTGTGCCTTCCACAAAGGAAGATGAGGGCATGGCAGAGTTGGGACAAAGAACCTGTGTGCAGTGAAGGACAAAGTGAAGAGTGTGTTCAGCAGGGAAGGCAAGACACACTACTCAAAGGACAGCAGGTCTGGGTGAAGGCCCTCATTGTCAAGGCTGGAGGTCCGTGCCCGTGGAGGTGGGCTGATGCTCTCCCAGGACTCAGCCAGGCTGATGGGGCTCAAGCTGAGTTTGAGGCCATTCCTCGCAATGGGGTCAGGGGAGGAGGCTTTTCTGCACTCAGTCGCCTTTAGCTTGGATTCCTCCTGGCTGTTCCTGTGTATTAGGTCAGGCACCAACAGGGACTCCTCACCATTGGCCAGAGCCTCTCCCTTGTCTCGCATTTCAATGGTGGACTCTGGTCGTGAATTATCTGCAGAGACAGGCTGAGCAGTGGGTGGAGAGTCCTGGGCCTGCCCAGGTGACAATTCTGTCCCATATTCTAGACTGCTTAGGACAGGCTGTGATGAAATCAGCATGTCCTGGGTGGTCTTCAGTGCCCGAGGGGTTCGCTTCCGGGTTATGGGAGGTGGAGGATCCAGCAGAGGGAAGGCTTCTTGGACCGACCTGCAAGACCACGACAATAAACGTTCAGGCTTTATGACAGTGAGACAGCAGTCTATACGCATTGTCCATTCTCTACTCCAGCTGCTCCTTCAGCTTGTCCCCCCCACCGCTACCCCCAGTGAGTGCTTCTTCTGCTGAGAGTTCATTCTGGGTTTAGGGTGTAGACCTCAGCGACTTCAGCACAAGCAGCCAAAGGGCTGTTCCCTCCTCATTCAGTGCTCAGAGTGGCACAAAGTGATGCCTCTGGGAGGTTGGAGAAAGATCCCGGTCGTCTTAGAGCCCAAGTCCTGGGCCCCATTAGAGGGCACATGAGCTCTTGGCACAGGTGTTGGAGTCAAGGCCCAGAAAGGAGCTGTTGGATGGAGACAGAAGTAGCTGTAGCAGGTCTCTCCCTTTCTACCAGGCACTCAGTCCACAGCAGCAGTTCTCAGGAATGGCTGGCATCAGAACCCATGAGAGGAGTTTCAGTGACACCAGGGTTCGAATGCAGTTCCAAATACTAACAGAGAGGCACAGCTACCTCTCTGAACTTGGGTCATTTGCAAAGGAAACTATATCTAAACCGGGCATGGTGGCTCACACCTGTCATCCCAGGAAAGCCAAGACAGGACAATAGCTATGACTTTGAGGTCAGCTTGCTTGGGCTGGAGAGAGAGATCTAGGCTAGGCTGAGTTACAGTGTGAAACAGAGTTAAGGACACAACACCCAGGCAGGAAGAGCGTCTCTGGTTATGGAGGCTGACGTGGGCTCTCATGAACACAGGTCTATCTCGGCTTTTCTTGACTTGCTCATCCCTTCCTTGGGTCTGTTCTCTCCTGAGCATGCTGTGGTCTGTCCGTGTTCCTACCTTTTCAAGTGGGATAGTGGGTAGGAGAGGAGGACTCACCTGTCATCCTCCAGCCAGGCTCCACAGGCAGCATCTTCCCCACCAGCCAGCTGGGCCCCAGCAGTCTTGTTAATCTCCATCACACCCACACTGCCCAGGCTTGAGGACTCCTTTCTTCGCAGGAGGTCATTGACCTTGGCTCCCATGGCTTTGCCCAGGTTCTTAAGGTGCTGGCTGCTGCCTACCCTCAGTCCTGGTCCCCCTGGCTCTGCAGAGCCAGGCGTGATGGAGCTCGGAGCCACAGATCTGGACAGGTGCGGGAAGGAACGGCTAGATTGGAGCTTTGGAGTGAGGGCTGTGTTCAAATTCTCAAACATGCTGTGGTCAACTATGAACAAAGAAAAGAGAGAGAGAGACATGTAAGTGGAGGGGAGTAGACCCTGGACTTCGTTATTCATCTTTCCTTGTTTTATAACACATTCAAAGCTTATCACGGCACAAAGCTTTGGAAGCGTCTAGTAAAGATGCTTTTAAACTTTCCAGGGTATTTCTTTTCTTTCCTTCCTTCCTCTTTCTTTCTTTCTTTCTTTCTTTCTTTCTTTCTTTCTTTCTTTCTTTCTTTCTCTTTCTTTTGTGACAGGACATGTGACCAAAAATTTCAGTTGTTCCCATCCTGGTTAATCAGTGACTGAGTTGGTCATAAAGTCAAGCATATTCCTTAAATCCAGTCTCCTTGACCTCTTTGTCCATGGGGTCATGAGGCCCTTTGAAGCAGAGAGAAAATGAGGATGAAACAATGAAGTGTGATATGTTTCCACTGCTGGGATCACATGCTGCAGCCTCTTCCTCAGGCATTGGGAACATGGCCTGTGGCAGGAATGGTGGACAAGGGTTCTGTGCTGGGAGCGCCCTACTGAAAGCCACATGTGTGATGCATTCTCTCCATGGAATATGAGCCAGCAGCTCCTAAGGTCTTCTGGAGTGGAACTTGGGAGAGTAGGTAAGCTTGTGGACACAGAGGCAGTCAGACAATCAAACCCAGGGCAGGACCTTGCTTCCAGGGAAGTACAAATGTCCTAGCAAACCCTTTCCCACTCAACCCCATGAGGACCTACTAAAGGAGCTCATTAGACTAGGGAGAGACTCAGAGTAATAACTGTAGGCCTGACATCACAACACTAGCTATTGATCATCTGGAATCAGAGCTCAGGCCTTCTAACCCAGAGTCTTGGGCTCTTTCCTAGAATAGCTATGGAAGATAGTCCTCTTGGGACCTTTATATGGCTTGAACGGTTGGCTTGAGGGTTAGCTTACTGGGTGGCAAACATTCCCAAGGCTGAGGCCACACTCTCTGTATCTTTGTGTACTTATATTCTCAATACCAGACTTGGGCTTGTTACACAGCAGGTACTCAATGAGTATCTAAAATGAACTACCCACATCCATTTCACTGGTGAAAAATTATGAAGGATAAGATGGTAGCCCTGAAGTCTGTTGTTGAAAAGGCTGGAGCTCCAGTCTCTGCGTTACGATGCTCACACTGAGTGCTGTATAATTTTATGTTGACTTGATACAGGCTAGAATCACCAGAGAGGAGGGTGTCTCAATAAGGAAAATGTCTCCATAAGGCAGGCTATAAACAAGCCTGTGGAGCATTTTCTCAAGTAGTGACTCATTGTGGGTGGTACCATGCCTGAGCTGGTGGTCCTGGGTTCTATTAAGAAAGCAGGCTGAGCAAGCTACAGGGAGTAAGTCAATAAGAAACACCCATTCATGGCCTCTGCAAGAATTCCTGACTCCAGGTTCCTGCCCTGCAAAAATTCCTGTTCAGACTTCCTTCAGTGATTGTCTATGGACGTGTAAAGCATGAGCTAAATAAACCTTTCCTCAACTTGCTTTTGGTCATAGTGTTTCATCACAGCAATAGTAACCCTAAACTAGGACACCTTAACACCTAGTCATTCATATGCTCTCCAAAAATTCATCCAAGTCATCAAAGGAGGCAGACTTGGAGCCTTAGTTGTCCATGGCCATTGTTCTAGCTTTGTTGTCTATTTGGACAAAGAGAGGTTGCATGTGGTCCCTGGGCTCTCATTGTCAATATGTCTGCTAAGGGTCTATCTATCTCAGTAAGCCTTTCCTAAGATCTCCTGAGGATAAGTCTTCAGATTCCATCTCATTTGTCCTGCATTGCTGAGTTCCAGGCCAGAGGGAATGCTTTGCTTTCTGTGATTTGAGTTGAGAAATCCCAATTGGATCAATCACGTAGCTAACTTGTATTCGAAGGGTCCCTGGGTTGCAGGGAGAAAGCCATGGAAAGAAGAGTGGAGTCACTCATAGACTTCCACAGTCTTTACCTCTGAGTAACCTTGACCTATGGGCACATTTTCTCATGGCTGGCAGCTCCTCAGGTCTTTTGGGGTAGAATTACTGTGTGGTAGGAAGGATAGGCCAAGGGATTTGGGACAAGTTCCAAGCTGCTTGGACTTCAGATGCTCACCTATCACACCGCCTACTCCACGGCTGCTCCTGACCGTTCTCTTACCACACTTTGGCAGAATTTGACTATCATGTCCCAAATCCTTTCATTTTATTTACTCAGGCACTCTGCAAACTAGCAGAGGTTATTTGGAAACTAATTCCACTATCCTCCTCTCCCCGAACCATTCAGAAAGGAATTGTATGCAATGCTCCAGAGGTGTGTTAGGAGCAGCAAGCTCTCCACTATTTCCTGGACCTCATATTTCGCTGGTGGTTTCTTTACATTGTCAGAGCAAGCATGGTCAAATTTGAAAGTGGAAACACTAAAACTGCCTGTCAATGTGATTTGTAAATCACGAGTGCCTATTACTTCCAAAGCACACCTTTAACAAACAATCTAGATGATGCCTCATTTGGATTTTCTGTACTTCTCTACTTTTCATAATATAGTTTGTGAAAGATTCTATATTCCTCAGCAATTCAAAGTGAGACTGGTATATGCTTTATCATTACCTGAATTTTCCTAGGAAATACACCTGGTTTATATAACAGATGGGAAAAACCCTGGAAAGGGGCCATTGAATCTTAGAGTGCTTTTATTATCCACAAGGCCTTGCATAACAATAAGCATTTAATAAATTACCTTAATTGAATGTGACTTTTATGTGAATTCTTAAAAAAAAAGATCCACATCTCAATGGTGGACTGACAGTATAAAGAAATCACTCGGTCTGTTTCCAGACTTGTGACTATAGTCTCGGAAACCACTCGAGCACTCTCTGTGGCAGTGGTTACAAGGGCCTCTGAGCTCAGGCTAGGAAACATTGTCTTCTCTGTAAAGCTGGTCTCTGCTGTCCCCACCATGAACCCCTTTCCTGCTAATGAGCCCCTCACACTCTGTCTCCTGTCCCAGGACTAGTCTTGGTGACTGAGAGAACAATGATGCTGGTAGGAAAGATGGCTGGATCCCAGCAGGGGAGCCTTCCCAACAGCACCCCATAACATGCAGGTACTCAAGCAGAGCGGGGAAGAGGGCATCTTACCTGTCCGAGAAAAGGGCTCGAAAAGCAGGTGGGGAACAAATGAGAGAAAGACACATTTATGTAGTGACCAATCACTGTCAGAGAGGTAGCTTCTGTTTGAGCCATCAGCAACAACAACAACATAACAAAATGCTATACCACACACCTTTTTAGCAAACCATGGAAAGACCAAGTTCTTACAAACTCTCCCATAGCTAAATCAAAATAGGGTCATGTTTTCAAAATAACAAGTCACTACTGCAGTCTTCCCAATTTCCCTCCCGACATTCTGGGGTCCCTTTGTTAGAATTCTATCTACCTAGTTGGTAATAAAAAGCACTTCTAAGTCCCTGGGACCTTGTGCATATAGTTCCCACCTGTGCTCCTTTCACATGTAATTTACTATATTGCATCCAGGAAGACATCCATTCATATACGTTCAGTCTAAAGGAACAGTATGGAAAAGTCAAATGGCAGAGGCTGCCCACTACGCTGGCAGCTGATGGAGAAGGGGATTCAAAATCATGTATACGGACTCCGAGACCCTGGTGACCCAAATGACATGACCAACAACCTTACAGCCACCAAAATGTTAGAGTTCAACTTACATTGTAAACATTCTAGCAGTCTAAACCAACCATGGGGAGAAACAGGAGGGAAATGAGGTCCCCCCATTCCTTCAAATGCCCAAGTAGCTGGGAATAAATGCTCAGACATGTTCTACAGGATAGCCATAGTTGGGAGTTTAGGGTGGGGACTGTTCTTTGCAACTAGTGTAAACACTTCACCATTTACACCCAAAGCATCTATATATCTAAGTTGGTGGGTTTTGATGATTCATAAGGGGCACTTAAATCTTCTCTTGCAAGGCTCACAATCACCTTCCATTCTTATTCTACATCCTACTAAGGTACCAGGTTGCTATATAGGAAAGGAAGGCAGAGAAACAAGGCAGTCCCAGAGTCCACAGTCTCATCAGCACACTGCCTTACAGCGAGCACAGTAGGACAGAGGAAGCCACTTGCCTAAAAGCACCAGCTATTAGAAACCATATCTGATCCCTAATCTTAGGAAATATAAGTTGAAGTGTTTTGATATAAAAGGATATAGGGTAACTTACCTCCAGATAGTTCAGTAAACAAAACACATTAAGGTCTGGGGATCGGGAATGTTGCTCACTGGTAGTGCTTTACCCAGCATGCAAAAAGTCTTGGGTTTCATCCCCAATCTACCTCTCTCTCTCTCTCTCTCTCTCTCTCTCTGTCTCTCTCTCTCTCTCTCTCACACACACACATACACAAACACACAACATATGATGACAGGTGGAGGTACTGATAACACAAATGGGATAAAATGTTAAAACAGGAAAATCTAGCTACACAGTATATGGATGTTTTTGTACTAACCTTAGGTTTTGCAAATTTTAGAAATTGAAATTATTTCCCAAAAGTGTATTTTAAAAACCCTGCTCTAAACAACACAACCTATAGAACAATACAACAAAAATATTGAGTGGTAGAGGCCAGGAAAATAAGGGAGAAGGGAGAAGAAAAGCAAGATGGCACTCCCAGAGGACACAGGGTCTCAGAGGTCAGAACACATGGGGATGTCAACACAGAAAAGACACTCCCCTAAAGAAAATACAAGACAAACAACACCACTGCTGTGGCTCTACAATATTCTTTCTTCTGGCTGGGCAGTCTCAGCCAAGAAAAAAAAATCCAGCTATTAGCCCCATCTGAAATACAGTTGGCAGAGACTCTCTTTCATTCTATGGGATACCTGTTCACTCCATCGATGGTTTCTTTTGCTATGCAGTGGCCTTTTAGCCTCACAGTTCCATCCTGGGGCTATTTCCTAAATCACTGGAGCTCTGCTGAGAAAGTTCTTGACTATAGCGAGAATCCTGAATTGTATTTCTTATGTTTTCTCTAGCAGTTCCAGCATTTCTGGTTGTAAATGTAAATAAAACAGGCCCCCTGTTTTATTAGCCTAACTGTCTGTGGAAATTACAATACTAGACAAGGCGACTCAACTCTGAAAGATTAAAAACCTGGTCATCTTTTTTTCATGCGCAGATTCTAGTTTGTGAGATATATATATATATATATATATATGTGTGAGTGTTTGTCTGTGTGTGTGTGTGTGTCTCTCTTTGTGTGTGTGTGTGTCTGTGTGTGTGTGTGTGTGTGTGTGTGTGTGTGTGTGTGTGTAAATGTGGGTAAAGGCAGACAAAATCTAGAAAAAAAAGACCCAGAAATAATAAAAAGCGATGCTAAGAAAAGTAGGGAAGGACACAAGGACATATAAATGAAAGGTTGTGGGGGTAAAGAGGTTAGAGGTGGGTAGAGAAGGGAGGAAAATATCCTAAATCACACTTTGTTAAAAAAAAATTCCACAATGATATAGCTAATCCTTTGTAGAACGATTACACATTTTAAATTAAACAGAAAACAAAAAGGTAGTTACATTTTCAAAAGGCACAAGTCTTGTCTACAAGAAAACTGCGTTCACCTTTTAAAGTCGTAACCTCACTGGTTAACAGAATCATGGGACCTTGTGATGTCAGTTCCATTCAGAATGTTTACTGCCCTGACAATCTGGCCAGCCTCCCAGGAACTGGTGTGTGACCTCCATACCTTGTGGTGGTCAGAACATGGAGAACGTCTCACTTCTCAGCATCTCTAGACCTCGAATCTCTTCCTCTGCCCTGAGTACTTTTCCCGATATTATATCCTCACTTGCCTCCAGCTTGCCAGGTAAATGCTGCTCATTAGGACTAAAAAGATGTGGGATTTTGTTCATTAAACTTTTTTGAATTTTGTTTGAAAAACCATGATCCTGTCAGATCATCCTATAGGATCATGATTGGTTGGGAAAGCCAAACAACATAGGGGGAGAATATAAGTTTTCAAAAGACTGCATTCCTGGTAAGTCTTGCTGGTTCATGACCTCTGGCAAGGGACAGATGGCAGAAGCATTTGTTGTCACCTTTCTTTCCCCTAGAGCCAGCTTCTACATGAAATCTTGAGATGGTGATTTGTCTACAGAGAGAGCAGGCTCTCCCGTTACCTTGGTCTTAAACTGGAGAAAAAAAACAAAACGTTAGTGGCAAGATGTAGGCTACCTGATGAGCACAGGGAGGAGCAAAGGGAGACACGTGAGGGCTTGTCAGCTGAAGTGTGACCCTGGCTCTTGAATGTGAGCATCACTAGGAAGCTGAGAAAGGCAGCTTCTCAGGCCTCCATCCCAGATGCAATGATCCAGAACAGGATCCTCTAGGGACCCTCAAGCACACCGGAACTGAGCTGTACTGCTGTGGGAGCTCTCCTAAACATCCATTTGCCTCTACAGAGAACAGTTTAAAAGCTATCTCCTAAAAGCTTAGTCATTGTCGTGGGGTCAAGGCAGATCTACTTTCTTCCAGACCCACCTGGTGGAGATCAAACCCAGAGCCTCATGCATGCTTGGCAAGTGTTCTCCCACTGAACTAATCCCCAACCCTAGATGGCCAGAAACTCTTCTTAAGTGAACTTGTCATCTGAGATTTAGTAGCTACTGCAGCGTACATGCGCCAAGAGCCCACACACCTTGCCTCTGACTGAGGGGATGAGATTTTTCAATGGGAGAATGTGCCTTGTTGCTTCTCAAAGGGACTGTGCAACTTGCCTATGTGGGCTGTGATCAGAGAGTCCATCCTGGAACTGTGTTCCAGAGTCCTACAAAGTGAAGTCACATGGGATAAACAGGAGCATCAGGTGAGGGGTGTGCCAAGGAAAATGTATCATGAGACATCTTCGGGAATACGGAAACCAAAGCTTTAATGAAGCTAGACATGACCTTTACTGCTAGGCCATGGCCCCGGCCTGGCCAAATCGTATTACCTGGTTTCCAGAGGACCTTTTTTAGGTCTGAAGAAACTTCCCCATCTATGACTCCCTGGGATATCACCTAGAACAGGCCTGCTCGTTTGTGTTCAGCTTGAGTTCACTGTTTTGAATTAGTTTTGAGAAGGTGAGCCTCTAAAGTATATCTTGGCGGGTCCCCAGAAGAGGACTCCCAATCTTGCTCAGCTCACCATGGTTCCTTCTGTAACCCAGACATTATAAAGACAGAGATACCCACTGAGGCTTCCAGCCCAGCTCAGGCCCTGCCACCCCAGTATCAAAGCAATGCTCTCTGGCATGGGGTGCATAGCCAAGTGCCCTCACCAGGTGAGGCCTTCTATTCTGAGCAGGGGCATGTAAAAAGCTAAAGAGGGTCAGGAGCTGTACCCCTAAAGGTAAGGGTATCTGCAAATCCATCAACACTTGCTGCTTTTTCACCTGTGTCTCGGCCCATGAAGGTTCCTTGCCTCCTTACTCCCTTCTGCCAAGCTCATGTGGACAGCCAGTTTCTGAGTGGCTATGGAAGGATTAGAATAGGTACTAAGGCTGGAAAAGTTGTCAAACCATCAGTGGCAGAAAGATTATAAGATGTCAGATGTCTACCTGTCCTTGCCTAACCTTAGAGGGGTCAGAAGTCAAGGTGTCTTTTACACAGGGCAGGTCTGTCTCCTGCCCAGACATCTCATGGCTCTTTTCAGCAGCGGGAAAAGCATGCAGCAGGAATGGATGTCTTGGGCTGTTCTTCCCATCCCCTTATCACCCATGGTCTCCCAGTCACCATCAAGGTGGAGCACAGGTCTCCTGAGGTCATGGAGGACTGTGTCTGTCTGCTTCTCCTGACTGCCTCCATCCAGCCACTTCACTCATCCCTACCCTCAGCCCCAAACTCAGACCCTGCCCTTTCCTTTGCAGACTTGGGGGACACCCAGAATGGGGAGCAGCTGAGGCGAAACTGCACCATCTACCGACCCTGGTTTTCCCCTTACAGCTACTTCGTATGCACAGACAAAGAGAGCCACCTGGAGGCCTATGGATTCCCAGAGGTGGACTGGGAAGAGGGCAGAGGGGACAGTTGCCTTATTGAGGATGTGGCTGACAGTGTCTGCTCGTCTTCCTCATCCCAAGAGAATACATACCCTAGGGAGGCCAATAAGAAATCCAAGCATGGTTTGGAGTCCATTACATCCCAGGACATCCTAATGGTTTCCAAGTGGCACCCAGCCCAACAGAATGGCTACAAATGTGCAGCCTGCTGCCGAATGTACCCCACTCTGCACTCCCTCAAAAGCCACATCAAGGGGGGTTTCAAGGAGGGTTTCAGCTGCAAGGTGTACTACCGAAAGCTCAAAACCCTCTGGGGCAAGGAACAGAAGGCCCGGTCAGGAGATAGGTTCTCTTTGGGCAGCTGTCAGGCCTTCAAGTAGTCTGCTGACACCTCAGGTAAATAGGGATGAAGCCTACTTTTGCCTCTGGAGAGGTGACAATAAACTGAAGTTAGTCATAGTCTTTTGTCAAGTCTGGTCACCCCCCATCATCTGCTCTTCTTAGTACCCAGTGAATATTCATCACCTTCAATTAGTGCTTGCCTAGCGATACTAGACCTGCCTCTTTGTCTCTCATGCTTGAAGTTCGAGAATATCCTCAAAGTGTCCATTAAAGCAAGCTGCCTAGACTAGCAGCGGTGGCTTCCTCTGGGAGTCAGAAAGAGACATTAATCTTAGAACACACTTGGACCTACTCGTCCTAACAGCTGTGCCATAACCAGCCTCCAAGGTGACTCTGAAATAGTTCAGAAGGAAAAACCACTGCTCCAGGGTGCTGGTCTACAGGATCGGTCCTTGCGCACACACTAGGAACAAAGGGCAGAGGAAGAATTCCTGTAGTTGGAAAGGCATCTTAGATATTAACTGTTGGAGGGAGTTGTACCTCTGGAGAGGACAACATGACTCCCAGCATAAGGAGTGTGGACTATCCCCACCACGTGTACCATGACTATGACCCAGAGTGGGTACCTCTTGCTGAAGCAGACAGAATGATGCTCAGCCCAGAGGATGTATTCTCACGGCTGTTTTGAGTCATGCCAAAACAGGCAGGTGATTATGTGAAAACACTACATTCTATCCCCAGACAAGGTACCAGGCGGAGAGTCCTGACCCTGACTCCATTTCAGGGCAACCTCTCTGCCAATCTGACGCAGAAAGGTAACTGGGCATTTCCTCTCAGGGACTGGGTATCATCGACTGTCTCTTAGTTCATGCCTCCCCCAAGAGTGGGTCAGTGTGTGCAGGTCCCTCCTTTGCTTTTCTCATGATACACAGTGACCCTTCCTGGAGCCTGACTTTATGGTTTAGCAGAGCCGCTTCTGTTTGCCATTGTGTTGTCAAAATATCATGCATGGTTCTTAATGTTTCCCCAGCATGAGAAATGCTGTGCTCAAATCCCCATCACTTAACAGACTATGAGAACAGCCCTGACCCTTCATTAAGCCCTGTTTTTCATTGCTCTTTCTGTGGCCTTCCTTCTTAGCAAGAATCCAGTGTTTGTCAGTTTCAAGAGCTGGGATTTGCAGGTCACAACCTAGTTCCTCAGAAGCCAGGTGGTCTCTAGGCAACCCTGACATCACTCCCTGGATACCATCCCCCAAGGGAGACATATGACTGGTGAGCCTCTCTAGCATGCACCTTGTGTTCTTAACTGGAAAAGCCACTGAGCTCTGGAAGGTGGCCTCTTAACATGTGTGGTTGTGCATGTCCCTTTGATAGGGGTACCCTGCAAGAACAATGAGAAGCATACCCAGGAGAGGCCACTCTTGGTATCACCATTGCCTGGGGAACTGGCTCCTAATCTTCTGCCAACCCCATGCCCCCTGCTCCAGGACCTGTGCATCACATGCCCCAAATAGCAGCCATAGGGACTAGAGAAGGGACCGCAGCATGTGCCCATTACTATCTGGCCCGTGTTTACTATCTTCTCCTAGGGACAGGAAGGTGCCTTCCTCATTTTGCATTTGATGTACCAAGTGTCACCATAACCCCATCCATAACCTAGGAGAGTGCTCCATCTAGTTTTAGAACATAGATAAAGGTTCCAGAAACACCTGTCCTAACCAGCAAAGGTGTGGGGAGGAGGGAGCACACTAAAATGCAAACTGTACTGTTCCCTGGGGTGGTGCTAGGTACTCTCTGCAGAGACTTTTACAATGCGAGCTCATATCTCTCAAGAACCCTGCATGTGGCATATACCATCCCAGTGTACTGGTGAGAAAACATCCCAGTTCACTTCACTGTCAGAGGAGAACAGAGAGCACATAAGCCTGGTTAACGGCCTTCCTGGTCTTGCCTCTGGCCTGGGCCTAACAAAGCACCAGACTTAACAAGCTTCCTGCCTTCAAAAAAGCCCCCAAATCCCAGCATTTGGAAGTCAAAAAAGTAAAGGCTGCCTCTGAGGCCGATACCCCCATGTTTCAGGATTGATCTGTGAATCATTGTTGCTGTAATATACTTCTGGGGAGATATGAGGAGGGGCCTGTTTTGTTCTCTGTATGGACTTAGCTGGAATGGGCCCCTTTAGGCAACTACCAAATAGAAATCTCAGACACCGAGTCCAGGAGTCAGCAGAATTGTATAATCTTGATCTTAGTTATGGTAGAAACAATGACAGAGTGCCTCGTATTCTAATGGTATCTGCAGTCTGAAAAGTCCAGGGGTCAGAGGAGTCTAAAAAACTGGGTGTAGGCTGGGGATTGCAATCTCGGTTTTAATGACCTTGGGCTGGATAATTCTTTGTTGAGGTTGTCCTATGTTTGGTAAGATCCCCGATTTCCACCCTCTATATGCCAAAAGCATCCATACCCTATCTATGAGAAATGATGAGGTATCCAGACACTGTCAGATGTCCCCCAGGGAAGTAAAATGATTTCTGGTTAATACCAGTGGACAGTCCAACCCTGCAGAGCTGGTCCATATGTCCTGCAACCAAGGATCTGCTTTGCTCCAGGAAATATGAATTCTTCCTATACCGTGTCCCAGAGCTGATGCTGCCTGGCTTAGGAAGTGGGTGCAAGGGAAGGGGACAGAAGAAGCAGGCTAACTAGAAGAAGCAAGTAGAGACCATAGGACAGCTTTTAGAAATAAGAAAGGTTTATTTAGCAAAAGCCACTAACTAGTGATAACATCCAGGGAGTAAGTGCACTTACATTAACAGATCGTTTCCCAGAGAGCTGATCCAACAGTTAATGACACAACCAGTATAGGAAGCAGAGGGCTAGCAAGAGGGAGGGGAGGGAGGAATAGGAAAGGGAAAGCAGTCAAGCAGAGTATAAAGGAATACAACTCATAAACAAGGTTGGCTGAGAGGAGCGAGGCGCAGAAAGGTTTTTACAGACAGCATCAATGTAAGCAGGAATAGAGAGGAATATAGATTTCAGTTCCCATATGTAGTCCATCCTGTGCAGAGAAATTCTGTCCTGCCTCTGCAGCTGCGAAGCCTTGTACGCCCAAGAGCTTTCTGGCACCTGGGGCAAGCTTCAATAAGGAACCCCTGGTGTCCATGTGTCCTCCATATAGGCAGAGTAGAAGGAAGGAGAAAGGCAGAGTTGAGTTAGCAGAGCAAGAAGCAAGGAAGGTGGAGGACGCTGCTGGGAGATCAGGTCTGCAACATTCCCTGTCCTGCCCATTGGCCTAAATGGAGGTTTGGTGGCCGGTGGCCGCACAAGACCGCCAGATCTGTTCTTTAGGTGTCCCAGTCCCATAGACCGAGCTTGTACAGATTTGGGTCTTACTAGGGAAGGTATTGGCACATGAATGAATTCTCCAGTGAAGGCCGCAATCAGGGAAAGGGGAGGGTCAACGAAAGCAGAAATCAAGGGCAAGAGTCTTACGTGAGTTCCAAGTCAGCACCCATCGTTTAACCAGTCTCTCCGTTCTTCATCTCACTTCCATTTCTCCTTTAAGAGCCGCCGTCTTTCCCACACGAGTTTTCACTCCTCTACAGCCCACCCCCCACCACTTGTCTCTCACTGTATCCTTACCTCCCGTTCACCCCGTTTGCCTTGAGCAAACAGACCGCCTGTCTTCAGACAGGCAAACTCTTGCATCCAAAGGTCCTAGACTCAAGGGACCCTGGGCTGGGGTTGAGTATATTAAACGGACTCATCCAAACTTGATTTCTGCAGCTGCTCCTTCAGTTTTGTGGACCTCACATCTCAAGTTCTTCCTTCCTTGTGTATCTGGGCCTCCCTCCAATAGTTAATTAGAAAATTAACAAACAGAATTCTACCTCTTCAACTTAACGCAGGGTGGGAAAAGGGTACAATGATATTGCTTATCCGACCACCCTGGAGATCTTTCTAGTCACTTCTCACAAGTCCAAAATCATGTCCTACACACACACACACACACACACACACACACACACACACACCACCCCACACACACACCACCCCACACATCTTACTACTGTGGACACCCTGATGCACTAGGGAGAAATAGTATAAAGCTATATTAATTTCACTTAACTTGATTGTTTAGTTTAAAAGAAATCCCTCTGTGGCTGTAAGAAAGGGCAATGCTTACATTTAGATACATTTCAAAGCAAAGCTGAGGCTGAAGAACTCCATTTGGGCAACTCCATCCTTGTCAACTGTCCCTCTGACAATACTACAGTTTGGCCTACAGCTTATCCAGGAAGAAAATGAACACTGCCCCCAAGCCACTTCCCTGCCCCCCCAAAATCCTATGACTTTGAACATATATCATATATATCATATATCAGCTATCTCTTCGGGAGTTGGAGAATTTATTAAACAGTTAAGGTCTTATGGGCGGGGGGGGGGGGGGGTTCCTTATTATTTAGTGGACATCCCTAGGCAAGGCCTAGATGGTAAGAGATTATGGGCTGGGGTGGCAGGGCTGTGGTCCCTGATCTAAGTGGCAGTGATTCTGAAGGGTAGGCAATAAGTTGGGGTGCAGGCAGGAGATGGGTTGGGGCAGGGTTTCCAAACTGAAGAATGAGACCTAAGTGAGCTGCAGCAGCAATGAGCTATCCTCCCCATGGGCTCTCACATCAGGGCCCTGAACAGTCTTAACATTCCCGCCCTCTTCAAAGCAACATCCCCACACCCAGCTAGAGAAAATTCCTAGTTCAACCACTATGACTTGTGACTCCTCTCAATTCCATATTCAGGCATAGCCTCACTTTCCTAGAAGCCCAGGGCATCCAGCCTCTACAATCTTAGCCAGGGCCTGGGGAAAGGAATTCTCTTATACCTCAAGGGAGGGTTAGGCAACTTGTAGCATCCTGATATCCAAAATCAAAGTACCAGAGAAGGTACCAATGGCTTCCCTTTATGGTCTGCACCACAGAGACAGGAGAGTGTGTGGCTCACTGAGGCATCACTGGATAGACTGATTAGAACCTGACTATAATGGTGGGAGCGGCAGTCCTTCCAGACTGTGGTTCTCAAGATGGACCCCATCTCAAGGTCCTGGAAAGCCCTGCTTCCACCCCCCTCAGTCATTAACAGAATGCAGACACTGATTCCTGTCTCTGGGGATCCAATTTCTTCCCTCATTTACCTTCCAAAGCAAAATCCTGACCCTCCTCTGAAGCCCTATACTCTGGGCCCTGGGTGTTAATCTCAGTGGCGCCTTCCCTGGGCATCCTCTGCCAGGGAACAGGCAGACTTGACCCCCTTGGCATCATGCTGCCACCTCCACCAACTCCTTGCCCTGCACCTACACGGCGATCTCATCATCCAAACTGTCACCCAACTCCTGCCGCTGTAGGACATTGAGCAGGCGTGGCAGCTCCTCCTGGGACCATGAGTCACGCTCCTCGCTTTCGTCCGTGTTGGACTCATACTCTGAGGCGATGCCTGACTCTCGGAACTTGATGAGCTCCAGGCCACCCAGGAGCGGCTCACCCTGCACCATCGGCCGGGTATCCTCGGGTGGGAGGAAACGAAAGCACTCCAGTTTCACCAAGCAGTCACGCCTACCTAAGGGGCTGCCCGCTGGGTGGGCAAAGTCAGCCAAGCCGGCGCCCAGCAGCGGTGAGTGTAGGTCCTCCGGCTTAGGGGTGGTAGGTTCACAGAGCACAGGCAGGGCACCTGAACGGAAGGTGATCTCCAGCAAGCTGTCCTGGGAGCCCACTGCAGGGAGACAACCGGCAAGGAGAGGCAATGTTAGGCAAGGCTTCAGATGTGAGCTCATTTATTATTATTAACCTGTGGGGTTGGAAAAGCCTGGTTCTGACAATCCCAGTCCCTGGAAGAGTCCTTGCTTGAACAACTCTGTAGCATCCTTGACAGGTTCCTTCCCTTTCACCCTTGCAGCATCAGATGCTCTTGGCTGCTGGGCTTTCAGAGTTGGGAAGGCTACTGAATGCCCTGTTAGTGGATTTGTGATGGGGGCGGGGGGGGGGGAGGGACAACCCCCACCCAATTTATTCCAAATATGGGGGTAACAGTCAAACCTTGTAAGAGATTAATCTGGACAGCCAGAGTGACTTACCCACAGTGGCTCCCAGCTACACCCTTTAGACACTCAGCCCTGCCTCTGATAACTGCTGAGAAATCTCTATGGGCTGGACTATGTGTGACAGCCATGAGGGGTAGCTTTAGGGAACTAATGGTATCGTTAGAAAAACAGTAGATTTGTGATGAAGCCTAAGTGTGAGACTAGGCTTCACTCACCGTTTGCTAACTGTGTGACTCTGAGCTACTTGTTAAACCTCTCTGAGTGTGTTTCCTCAGTTGTGCAACAGTCATGACAGCATCTACTACTACAGAGCATAAATGACCTTACACATTAAAAAACTCTATCACAATTATTTGTTTAATAGCTGGTCAGTAGGTATTTGTCAGCACACAGTCAATACAGACTCCATGCGTGCCCAGAACCCACCAATAGGCAAGCCTATGATGAAGCCCTGGAACTAGACTGCCTTTTGCTTCCCAGTTCAGCTTGGGGATGTCTGGTATACGGATAGCAAAGCATCTTAGACCAGGGGCCACCCAGTCTAGTTACAGACACAGTTACTCAGCCATCTTATCAATTAAATAGACATACATTTCTCTGTGCAACAGAGCAGTGGACTATACAGTGCAGAGAATCAACTGCTAAAGAGTTTGTGGAGCCCACAGAGTTCACAACATGATCCCATATGGGCTCGTGATATCTTCATTGGGACATCCCTCTGAGGGAGAAATGGGCTTTTGTGGACTATAAAGTGACCGAGCTCCCTTTAAGGAGAGAGTGGACAAATATGTAGCAATGTCTCCCAGGAACCTTCATGGGCGAGTCTGGGTGGTGGATAGAAGGCAGCGAAGCTGTGCTCTGGCCCTGTAATTCTATACTTTATGAGATGTGCAGACTAACAGCAATGCTGCCTGTGTTCTGTTGAAACGCAAGGTACTCCGGCTGCACGGGACCCTGGCTTACTGGCATTCTGTCCTGACAGCTTCAGCTCCAGCTCCTGCACTTGCTTGACCAGCACAGAGATGTGCTGGAGCATGTCTTTGTTCTGCAGCAGGAGCTGGTGCACGCGTGCCTGGGCCTCCAGCCGTGCAGCAGCCTCAGCAGCCAGCTGATCCTTCAGCAAGTGAACCTGCAGAGAGGAGGCAGCAGGGAGACAGAGAGAAGGAGGGGCAGAGAAAAGAGAGAGACATTACTACAAGTGGCAGTTGCCAATGGACGGTCAGGATCAGAAACGCCCCTCTCCACATTCAACTTGTGATGAAGAAACCCTGCATGGAAAATTGGGCACCTGGAATTGTAATTCTGGAAAAGTGGCCAAGAGAAGATAGGACACCAGCCCTTTGGGCCTCTCTATAGGCCTCAAGGGCTATGATGTGGCTCCCATGCACCGCCATGGGCCCCATGTCATGTGCAAAAGATTGGAGATACGTCCTCACTACCTACAGTGTCCATGTAGATTAAACCACCTTCCACTCCTGTTTTAAGAACTTTTTTAGTTCCAAAACAAGGTCTTGACACATAGGCCCTAGTTGACCTGGAACTGGCTATATAGACCAGGTTGGCCTTGAACCTGCAGTCACTGCCTCCCGAGTGCTAGGATTACAGGCATCACAGCCTGCTTTACCCATATCTTTTTAAAAACAAACGTAGCCAGGTATGGTGGGGTACATGTTGTAATCCTAATACTTGGGAAACAGAATTTTGAGGCCAGTCTAGTCTTTATAGTAACTTCCAGGCCAGCCAGGGCTACCTAGCAAGACCCTGTCTCAAAATCAATTGAAAAAATAAAATGCAAAAGCTAATATCAATTGACTAGACCATCACACCCCATGCCCCCTGACCCCAACCCCTAATCTTCCCTTATACTTTATTGAACATCAGTGCAACAAGACACAGGAAATAGAACTACATTGCTGTCAGTGAGCTTGTTGTAATAAAACTTGGCTTCTCATACCTGGATACCAACTTCTCCATCTTTCTATTCTCTTCTTATTCTCAACGGATGCCCATAGAAACCCTGATTCCTTCTAGGAAGGAGTTAAATGTTGAGTGACTAACAGGAGTGCTCTTCTGACAACCACATAAAGATGAGGTTGGTGTTCACAGTGAGCACTTTATCTATTGGTATGCTCCTTGCAGTATAGGGGTCAGCCATGGCACATTCAGTGGTGTTTACATGCCCATTTCTGGCGGATAACCCTTGAGTAGAGGTGAAACAGTGGGGGGAAAAGGGGCAATTACATCCAGAACTCTAGCTTCAAGGAAATAGAAAGTCAGTGTACACACATGCATGGTTTCTTGTACTAGGAAGTGGATCGGGAGGATTTTAGAGTGCTCTTGAGAAAGGGAATGGATGAGTTTGGTCACTTGGAACTAAGTCAGCCTATAGGCAAGACAGTTTTCTTGGACCCAAAACCTGGTGTTGACACAGAACCAGGGTGGGTGGGATGTGGGGTGGGAGAGAGCTGGAAGAGGGGAAAGCCTCCCCTGGTTCTTTCTCAGGAAAATGTTCTCCAAGTCTGAAAAGCAGTATTCTCTAGAAATTCCCATTTTGCTGAGGCTGACCAAGGCACCTCCAGGTCTTCACATCTGGGACATAGTACTAAGAAAATTGTGCTTGGGTACAGTGGCTGCTTCCTTCTCTGCCCAGTTCTCAAGGCCTGGCCTTGCAGCTGGCTCCGAACTGAGCAAGGGCACTAATGAGATTTGCTGCCACTTTCCATTAGTGGATCCCCAAGGTTGGGCTCATCCTTCCCCAGGGACAAGAGGCCTAATGAATCTAAAGAACCTCTCCAAAAGGACTGCTAAGGACAGAACTCTTGTTTTGATCAGGATGTCGGCCTCCTCTGCTGTTTCATATTCCCCCCGGGAGGGATCTGAAGAGGGGCGAGATCAGGAAAAAAGGTGACAGGAACACTGTAGCTGGGGGTTCTGATGGAGAGTGGCTATGAAACCTGTAGCTTCCTGGGAAACAGAGGCATGGAGAAACTTCACCCAGGGGTCCCCTCAATCCTACTGAATCTAAGAAACAGGGAAATGGCTGTGGGAGGTCCCCACTTATACCCCCACAGGATGGGCAAGCTCAAAACTTGACCTGCCAGTACTGTTACCTACATGAAATAAGAGTACCGGGGAAATACCATCTATAGAATCTACTGATCAGATCATTTATTTTCTACTTACTTTGGAAGCAAATAGAAATGTAAGACAGAAATATGGAACATGGCTTTTCAGTGGATAAGTAGAGAGAGCACAGAGTCCTGCACACCACTAATTAGCATCTATTATGGGCTCCCTACACACCTGCCACACCCTCAGGTACCAGCATCCCCACAGAATAGACCATTAGGAAGCAAGCATGGGACTAGCAGCCAGGGTGCTAGAGTCTTACTCCTGAGACAACCAATTACAGGCCGTTTACTTTTCCCTGGGCCTCATCTGCCCCATCTGTCAATGGGGAGAGCTGGCTAGGGGCTGAAACAGTTGATTCTTCATTCAGACAGACAGTCATAATCACTGGGGGCCACTTAAAAAAGTTCTCAGATCCCATGGTGACTTCTGAGAATTAGGAAGAACAACAACAAAAACGGGTTCCTTCTTGCAGAAGTTAGGGGAGTATTGGAAGCTTCTCTGGCAGGTATCCAAGTTCCAAAGGTGGGGTACCCTCAACCCCCTTGAATTCTATGCTTCAGGTAAAACTCATTGACATTTAGTGCCATGAGCAAATATCCCCGGGGTGTAAGTGCCTCTTGTGCCAGATTACATAAGAATTTCACCTCTGCAAGTGCAGAGCTGTATCATTTCAGTTGTTTTTAAGCTCCGTGAGCACAGAAACAATGCAGGGCTGTCACTGCCCAAGCCAGCGCTAATGAGCCTCCTGCTTCTGCAGCCAACCGAAGTGGCAATCAGGCATGTACTTTCAGACCTCAGTGCTGCAGAACTAAAACCAGGCCAAGTGAGGACAGCGTGGTTTAGAGTTCCTCAAACTCCGAAACCAAGTTTATATGAACTCGGAGTGTCAAAATGAGGTAGTGTTAAAATGAGGTAGCTTCACCCTTGGTTTGGGCTCTGGTTCTCAACTAGGACAAGGATAGAAGGCACCACCTCACCCCTGACACACACACACACACACACACACACACACACACACACACACACACACAGAGAGAGAGAGAGAGAGAGAGAGAGAGAGAGAGAGAGGACATTTATCTTTAGCACACATTTCTTTCAGAGAATTGAGCGTTTTCCACAAAATTGACCACAGTACTTTCTGAAAAGGTAACTGTGAAACGTCTCCTCTCCAGAGCCATGGCACCTTGAGTATGACTAGTCCGTTCGGACTAAACCAGTGGCACAAACACAGCAATATGGCACTAAAGTCACACTTAGTGTTGGCATCCGGCTCTTCATCCCAATCCCCAAACAACACATATAACACCAATCCTGTCCCCTCCAGCTCTGTACCACTTCCCCAAATTCTGCCACTCACCCTCAACCCACCAACCACCTCAGACCATTGCCCCACTCACTCTCCGGCCTACTTGCCTGGACTCCAGCTCCTCCATCAGAAGTGGGGGCAGGGCCAGGCTGAAGTTAGGGAGTGGCAGGCACATGGAAATGGCAGTGGAGATAACCAGAGCAATTTGCCCCTCCTTCCCCAGACCAGATGAAAGCAGAGGCAGGCAGTTCTGTCTCAGCATGCATATGCCAGGGACTTGTGCAGGGCTGGGGACTAGGAGAAGCCACAAAGACTGATGCTACATGGAGGGCCAGGGCGGGGGTGCAGAGCATTTTCAGCACTGTTTCTCTAACCACAACACACGATATCACAAAGCATAAGAAACAAATTACTTGTTCCTAAATAAGCAGAAGTGGCAACAGGTAGAGGAGGTCTTTAAATAGCAACAATGAGCTTCACTATCATTTTCCCAAGAGCTAGGCTAGGGCTTGGCAAACTGTAAACATATCTGGCCCACTTAACTGTTGTCAGTCAGTCACAATCCTGGAGCCAGGCAGGCCCAGCATGCAGCTATGCAGGCACCAGCTACATCCCAGGTACGATTCAAGGTGTGGCTGTAGTTTTCATCCACACCCTTGAACTTCTGGTCCAAGTAAAAGCAGAAGCTAATGCAGCCAGGAGAAGCCTCATGCTGGGCTGGGAGAGCCACAGAGGGACTTGGGTAATTCACTATTTCCCACTGCAGAACAACCTGGAAATACTTAGGAGTTGGTTAACGTCATCTTTGCCCCTATGTGTTTTAAGGCCATGGAGGGCCTGTTCAAGATTAGCACTGAAAGAATTGAGGTGAGGCTGGAAGAGATCTTGAGGTCTTAGAAAAGTCACAACAACATCAAAAAGAACTAAACACAGTCCTAAAGGCAACCGCCAAATCAGATTGTTGTGTGGGAGCAGATGCGGCAGGGGACATGAAGAATGTGATAAGAGACTTTAACAGCACGTATTATCTGCAAAACTTTGGGGCTTTACCCTTAGATTTTAAACTGAGAAGTATTACAGGAGGGTTTGGGAGCTCAGAGAAAGGGAAACTACGTTCTCACCCAAAACACTAAGATGACAGTTTCAACGACTAAATTCTGGGGAAGACTGGTAGTTCAACGAAAGACCTTGCAGCATACTAGAAGTAGTCCAACGGAACAAGGGAAAGTTGACTTTCCCTGGGGAACTAATCAGTCCTGCAGAAGAACCAGGTCTGTTGCTGGCATGTGAAAGATGCCAGGATGACCTGTCACCAACCCACTTGCACATCTTACATAACTGATTGTATACACAGGTGGAGACAATGACAAAAAGTCCTTTGATCAAATCCTATAGTGTAAGAGAGCTTGAAGAGGCTGGTTTAAGACTGAACCCACCTGCAGAACCAGGGGGCCAAGGGCCAGCTGAGAGGTACAATTGTACCCTACTGTGTCCCTGGCAGTAAAGAGAAGACACAGATAGAAGGAAAGTGGTCACAGACCAACTAAGGAGAACAGCAGGGACAGGTAGAGGACTATGCTCAGAAAGCCATCAAATGACCTTAAGTCTAGTTTGATGAAAAGATCAGAAGTCTACCACTCTACTCAAAGTCATTACTGCTCTATGACAGCCTTTTATCACATTACTGCTTGAGCTGAGAGCCCAGCAGCTCACTGCCAGCTATATCCAATAGATTCTGAATAAATGAGAAGCTTGAACTGACCAACCTGGTGAAATGCCTAGAACCTAGAGAGAAGCTCCTGAAATAAATCTAGAACACGGCATTGTTCCTTTTCCTTAAAACTCACTGTCTCCTAGGAGAGAGGCAATTAGAACAGGGCGGGGCATGGATGTTTTGCTAACACCGATACTTGCTATGCCATAAAACCACTCTTAGGTTTGGTCCTGACTCAGACGGACCTGTGGTAAGCTTCGGGTCTGACTGAGTGCAGGCTGGGTGCTTCCTTACACTGCCACAACACTGTGTGCAGATTTGACACTTGAACTCGTTTTCTCTTTAGTACTTAGCTGAGACTTCAAATTCAGGTGCCCTCTGATAATAAAACATGAATATGCATCAGACCTACTCTTGGATAAATAATAATTACTTGGGAATTGATATGCTGAGAGAGGATTGTTCAGAGAATGGATCTGTATTCAACGGGAAACTTGGGGAAATGTTGAGCTTGGCGATGGGCCGGGGCTGAAATGCTCAGGCTTTGTGTTCCTGTCATCCCCCACACAGAGGAGGAGAGTCTCAGACTGCCATGCTGTCATTAGACAGAGATGGATTCTTTCGTTTGACAAAGAATGATTTTTTTCCCTCCAAATATAAGAAGCTATTACTGACATCCTCTTTTCTCCGCTGCCGTTCTAGAAACACCTGCAAACCCTCCCAGCAGCATGGCATATCCTTTGGTCTCACAGTCAGATCTCCCACTCCCAAACCACCTCCAAGATTCTATCTACTATCTTGGAGCAACGTCCCACTGACTCCACTGTCTTGAAAATGTGGAGCAAAAGTGACCCATGAGGCCAGTGCCTCAGGGACAGTCAGTGAAGGTTGGATGACAAGAGGGCTCTTTCAGGCCAAGCCTTAGCAGACTTTACTAAGGCCAGGCTGCTGGATGCTTCCTGAAGGTGTACTGAGGAAAGCATCACTCTACCAGGGGGATTCATTTCCTCAAGGAGGCAGGGGGAGAGGAAGCAGAACACACAGAAGGATCAGTAAGTTCTCCCTGGAGGAGTCTGCTCCCTGTACGGAACATGGAAAATCTCAGCACCCACTCAAGCCTAGCCGATTCAGAAGGCTAGTGCACACAGTAGCCTTCACAGACCATTCTCCAACTGTCCCATCCCATCCTCCTGACTACCTTCATCTACCCACATAAGGCTTGATCCTGCTCTGACTTTAAACTTCAGCCTTCATATAGAATAGATGTATGTGTCTTCACCATTCCCCAGCTTGCCCAGCATCAAGAGAAGGCTCACACTACAGAACTCTTAAGTCAGTATGAATGACAGCACCCTCCAGTGGAAATCAAACAGAAGGGATTCCCACTGAAAGCAGCAAGGGAAATCAGCTCAGTCCTCTCCCACAAAGCAACATCAGTCCAACCCGACTTCAGGGTGTACACTCCATCTGGATGCTAAGACGTAGCCACTTCTCAAATGGCTCAGATCATCTACCTAAATTCCTCTAAGTTCAATGCTGTCTGGCATAAGTAGGTCACAAATGGAGGCTTGAGTACCTGTTATGGTCAAGAGTGTTTGGGATGCCAGGGCAGCAGTCTGTGCAAGAAGGATGCAGCTAAAAAGATACACCTTTTAGCTGGAGCTGTTTTAAGAGTTGTCACACCTGTCCTAACTCCAGGCATCCCTTCCCAACCCAAACACGAGGAAACAAGGTAGGAAAGGGAGGGTGGGACTGTGTACATCTTTTTCCTTGGTAAGTTCAAGTCACTATCCAACAACGTTCAGCCAAGCCAGCCAAGCCTAACTCAGAGCGAGGGATACATGGGGGAACCAATGTGTTTTTCCATTTTAACCTTAGCCCCCATCTGTCCCCCTCCCCTTTTACCTCCTAGAACCCCAACAAGCAATCATCCAATAGCATGAGCAATTCTTTGGAGCTCCCTAGGTTTTAAACCTGCCCTGAGCCCCTTGCTAGGGAAGGTGCATCAAGCCCATGAGAGTGGAGCCTGTGAAGAAGGGAGGAGGCTGAGGAGAACCTGGGCCACAGCCACTTGCGTCTGCTGCTGCTGCTGCTGGAGGAGCTGCTGGAGGAGCTGCATCTGGTGATGAGTGGACAGAGGTGTCCCTGTACCCAAGCCTGGTGGCTTCGAGGAAGAAGAAGGCAGCAGCATACGAGGTGAGGCTGTCAGCATGGGCTCCTGAGGATGGGGTGAGACCTGAGGAGAGAAGACAGAACATGGCTCATAGGCAGAAGTCTGAGTTCCCCATTCTCATTGTTATATTCATGACGGCTGCGCGGGCTGAGTGACGCTCATGTACTGGAGATGCTGCATCTTCAATGACAGCTATAGCTCTAGGGAGGACATGCTGGCAAAACAGAGCCAGAAAATTTTATCTCTATCCCTTGGGAACATCATTTGTCAAAAGGGTGGGAGACAAGCAGCTGATAAAATATCGTTTTTTTTTTTTTTTTTTTTAAACTCATTTCCAATTATATACCTTTCTGATGAATTGGGGTTCTAGCTTTAGAATCTATGTTTGTTTACACAGCTACCTACCCTGTCGCTATGACAACAAGAAGGAAATGGCCTCAGTTCTTCCCTGCACTGTCCTTCAGATGCTCCACCCTCTCCCATCTCTTCTCACAATGAAGGAAGAACATTTGGACATCCTAACACATGAGCCAGAGGGACCTCTGTTAGTTAGGTGACTGCAGCTGCTGTCTCTTTCTCCTGACGGGACACTTTCATTCAGATGGCTCCTAAAGTCAGAGTTCAGTGCCAGGGAGATAGGTTTTGTTCCTGGTGGCTTTGCTGATCCTCAGAAATGCAGGAAGAAGGTACTCAGGGACGGAGGCCTATTGTCCTTTGTAGAGAAGTAGCAGGGCAGCAGAGGAAACAGGAGGCGCTGCCCGCCAAACTACTCAGGTGTTTCCTCATGAACTGGCCTAATCTGAGATGGAGGATGGAAAGTGCCAGTGAGCTTCCTGGGAACCCAAGGGTCAGGAACTTGCCTTTTGGTTTTTGATTTTCTTAATTTAGTTGTCTTCATGTTTGAATTTAGTCTTGGGGCTCTTGGGGCTTGTTTCTTTCCTGGATCATATTAGAAGCTCCTCTATGCCTTAGTCATCCCACCTGCAGAATGCTAGGCTGGGGGTGATGAGGCCTGCCTCAATGGGTCTCAGTTTCTACCATACAGTGTGCTAGTTTCCAGACTGAGGAGAGCTGTTGTTATCCAGGAGTTTTAAAGGCCCACAACACTAGACAAGGTAATGGGCTCAAACAGACTGGCTTCTTTAGCTAAGCCATGTGATCACCTGTATCACATGGGTCTGCCGGATGAGCCCTGCACAAATACCACAAGATGTTGCTGTGTAGGGAGAAAGGGTTAGAACATTGATGGGATCCCCAGGTGGGCAACACACTTCAGAAATGCACTCCACAGCACCCTCATGTGGGTGCTGAATCTGCAGAAGTCAGACCCCTCTAAGGGCAACGGAATACCTTCCAGCACTGCCACTGTGTGACACGGCACCCCACTCTGAAGCTGCCACGGTGTGAGCCATGAGGCAACTGACGGCCTAAGGCTACAGCCGTGACACAGCTTGCTCTCAGAGGCACCAGGACCACACATGAAAGTCACCTACCGTAGAGTCTATGTGGGAGCTTCCTTCCTTCCCTACAGCATCCAGGTCTGTCACACCTCGGCTGAAGTCGAGAACATCATTCCTGGGGAGTGGGACCTCCACAGCATCAATGTCAGTCTCCTCTGCAGTGGCCGTGGAGGCCCTCTCGGCTCCTGCGAGCTGGCGGCCTGCAGGGACAACAGGGCAGGGAGCCATGACATAAGGAACACTATTTCCTCTTTATTTTGTTAGTTCTCCCTTAGTCAAGGCCAGGCATGTCATGGGCTTCCTCTGACATTTCCCACATCCTTTTGTTTGAGTACACAGATACACCTTTTCAACCCGGTAGGATACGTCTATTCTAATATCATCATAAGTTCAGAAACAAACGAACATTTCCTCAAGTTAGATGCAACAGCTCCACAGCCTGGTACATTTCTACCAGCAAGAGGTAGAGAGACTCTGGAGGAAAGGGGGCTGCCATCTCCAACTTCATCGCAGCTCAGGGCTCAGTTTCCCAGCCTGGTACTTACTCTCATAATTCCACAGAGAATATTTTCTTACTCTATAATTGGGATAAGGTTTCTCAACATGTTTTGTTTTGGTGTTTTGAGATGGGGTGGGGGTTTCACTTGGTAGCCCAGGATAGACCAAAACTCACTCTCTAGCCGAGGCCAGCCCCACACCTATGGCTATCTTCCTGTCTCTGCCTTCCGAGTACTGGGATTACAGCACACGGGCCACCAGGCTCCTCTAGGTTGACCACTATTGTCTTTCAAATACAATGTCTTAATCATTTGCAGAGACAGAGAAGCAGTTGGAAAATAGTGCTGGATGGTGGTGATAGCAGTGCCGATCCCTAATGTTGGAGCTGGCCCAGGCAACCAGGTGCCAGGCATGTGTCTGCCTTGTAGAACCAGCGGCTGTAAGTCCCTCCTATGTAGATGCACTTTGTCACATAAGGGAGCAAGCCACGTATTCAGAAGTCAACAGTGTGCTAGGCTTTCCTCCTTGCTGATCCATGAGCTTGGGGAGATGGTTCTGCTGAGGAGCATAAAGGCGGTTAATGGAAAGGCTGATCCCCATGGCAGCCTGCTGGGTCAGCAGTTCTGATCCTTGGGGAGCTAGCAGATGGAGAGCCCAGGCCTAAACAGACTCAGCATATGGATGGAGGGATCAAGAAAGGTTCAGCCTGAAGACAGATATTTGCCATAAGCGCAAGCCAGAAAAGAACCCAGGGACCATATCCAGGAGAAACTTCAACACTTAAGAGGGAGGCAGAAGCAGGGTCTTCAGGGGATGCTGAGAAGCAGACAGTAGAGATGGGGTGAAAGTCTAAAAAGCAGGTTGGACACACAGAAATAGAGGATACAAAGGTGGTTCTCAGGGGTGAAGGTCAAAGAACACAAAGTTGCAGGTGTGCAGGGTGACTAACCTGGAGCTAGAATGTAGGACACAGGACTCTGGCTACCAATGTACATGCTCAAGGGTTTTGTATTTTTTTCTTCTTTTAAGATTAATTTATTCATTATGTATAGTGTTCTACTTGCATGTATGCCTGCACACCAGAAGAGGACACCAGACCTCATTACAGATGGGTGTAAGCCACCATGTGGTTGCTGGGAATTGAACTTAGGACCTCTGGAAGAGCAGCCAGTGCTCTTAAACACTGAGCCATCTCTCTAGCTTCATACTCAAGGCTTTTGCTCAGAGTGGACTTTAGGTATTCTTGCCAAACACACATAGGAGTTAGGAATGTATACACGCATGTTTATATTTTTGGCTTTTTTAAGCTGGCCTTAAACTTTTAGGCAATCTTCCTGTGTCAGCCTCCTGAATGTTAGGATTACACGTGTGTGTCACCGTGCTCAGCTTTTTATTTACTTATTTTTATTGCATTTATTTACTCATTTGTGTGTATGTGCATGGGTGAGAGTGTGCCCTGGCACACCTGTGTAGGTTAAAAGACAACTTACACAAGTCGTTTCTCTCCTGCAATGTGGGTTCCAGGGATCAAACTCAGGTTGTCCGTCTTGGTGGCAAGCACCTTTACCTGCTGATCTCTTTTGCTGGCCCCAGCAGGTTTTATTTTGAATAAGTCCTTCTAAAGGCTTCTCAGTCTATGAATATGCTGGACAGTTGTTGCCACATGGGAGAAGGCATACCTCCAAGGAAACAGCATCTCTCCCAGGCAACAGGCAATGAAAATTTGAGCAGTGGCCCCACCTTGCTCTGAGAGCCTTGGGGATGGCGAAGGACAGCTGTTGCCAAAAGATACAAAACATATACCTCCCCCATAGCACAGGGAACAGGAGAAGAATGAGGGAGAGAAGAAAGACAGGCACAGAGCAGGGAAGGAGAGAGGAGGCACTGGGAGGGGCGTAAGTGGATAACAACACTAAAACCCCACTGAAGCCCAGAAGAGAAAGCAGCGCTGAGATCAAAAGAGGCAGGGCGGCTTCCAGCACTTGCCCTTTCCAATTTCCAAGTGTAAATAAGTTTCCTCTGTACAATAAAGGGCCTGCCATCCCATCCCAGGCAGGCAGAGCTCTCCTGGAAAGACAAACACTGCATTCAATGAAAACCTCCTGAACACAAGAGCCAGATCCCCACAGGAAACCATCGTTTTCCTCTGGACCTTTATAGGAAAACCCTTCTCGGGAGAGCAGATGTAAAAAGAAAAGAAGGCTGTCAGCAGTTTATACACACCAAGAAGGTGAGTGGGAGGCAGTGACCAGGAGAAGGCAGTCAGCAGCCTTCCTGAAGAAGAAAGGGTTCCAACCCCGGATGCAAATGGCATCGACTGCTGACTCTTGGGTACACTCAGCCTCTTGGCCACAGTAAAGCCAGATCAGTCACTCACTCAGCTTCTACCTGTTGACTACAGACATTCAGAGCACCCAGCCATTCTCTTGCACATATGTTCCATATGCAGATCCCTAGCCACACTGCTAGCACTGGGAGCTTCCTCTATACCACACCCTGGGTTCATTCACCTGCATCCTCGCAGTGGCATCCAACATGTGCTTTGCTGGAGACCACTGAATACACAAGGGTCGGGTCAGGATGAAAGTCCAATTGCCGTGTGTATAGCCTGCTGCTGTAGTGACCTCTCAGCATTGCCTCCTTACTTCCACAACAGCCAACGGTCTGTGCTAACAGGCCAGCCACCACAGCACCCAGACATCCGCCAACATGATTCTAGAGGCTGCTGTGGAGTTACTTTTTAAAATTGCAATGAATATTTAAAGCGGTAGACCTTGTGTCAAGGGGATGCCCATCTGTGGGCAGACTCGTCTGATCAGACAGAGGTTCAAATAGAACAAAGCCTAATCTCCCATGAAGAAGAGGGAATTCCACCAGCAGATGGCCTTCAGACTCGAAGTCACCCTTCCCCGGGTCTCCAACTGGAAATTATTGATTTACCAGGCTTCTAGTCATGTGAAACAATTATTTAAAATGAACCACCCATTAAACACAGACACAGATAGAGATGGAAAAGAGGAAAGAGATTTCTATGTTGATATTCCTAGTTATTTTTAGTTGCTTGGGAGAGAAGACTCCTTAGCGAAACTGGGGTGGCCTTCTTGGTGATGCAGCTTCCTTTAAGTCACCCACAGGCCTGTGAGGAAACCGATAAACTACTGGTCTACCAAGTCAGACTTGGGTGTAATCATTCTTTGTTGTCAGGACTCTGTGTGGCCTGAATAAACATTTTTCCTGTCTGTGCAGGAAAAGTCGCACAACATAACACTCACACACACAGTAATATAAACACGCAAATGATATGTATACTTTCCCCCTCACACTACTCCAAGGCCACATCCTCAACGACACCAGCAGGTGCCTCCCTCTCTCTCCCCCGAGAGATGCCAGGATGATAGAGTGTGCCAACCCAAGCTTGACTGATCTTGAAAAGACACAGTTGATCTATCTTTGACATCTTAAACCTTGAAGAAAGTATGCTTGGCGTATTAGTTTGCTTCCTATTGCTGTGACAAACATCATGGCCAAGAGCCATCTGGGGAGGACAAGGTTTGTTTGGCTTCTACGTCTCAATCACACCCATCACGGAGGGAAGTCAAAGCAGGAGATGATCAAGCAGGAGCAGAGATGGGACCCATGGAGGGGGTGCCACTTACTGGCTTGCTCAGCTTGCTTTCTTCTACAACCAAAGACCACCTGCCCAAGGGTGGCACTGCCACAGTGGGCTGGGCCTTCCCACATCAATCAATAGTCGTGAAAATGCCCCACAGGACAATCTCATGTGGGGAATTCCTCAACTGAAGAAGCTGCCTCTTCCCAGGTGACTCCAGTTTATGTCAAGATGATTAAAAACTTACCAGCACACTGGGCCTGACACTACCTGTGGAAGGCCAACTACATAACTGCGCTCTCTTTAAGGTATATGGAGAATGTCAAGCAGGCGATACCTCATGTATATTAATGTGAATTAAGAAGACTGTCTCCAAAGAGGTAACAGAACAGGCCAGGTGTGTCGGTGCATGCCTCTAGAAGCAGGTCGGTCTCTGTGAGTTTGAAGCCAGCCTGGTCTACATAGCAAGTTCTAGACCACAGACAGCTACATAAAGAGAGCCTGTCTTTTAAAGGTAACAGAACAGAGAGGTAGTGGTGCCCAACATGGCTGGAGAGTGGGCGCCTTTATATGATGGCCAGAAGAGAGTGAGTAACCACCATCTCCATCACTGTCTTCCCCGTTTAGCCTTCTGAGCTCACTCTGTGTTTACCACCTCAATTTTATTAATTCTCCTAGCCCACATTGTCATCATTCCTCGTCAAAGAGGTGGCTTAAAAGTCACTCCTGCTGGAATCTCTTCTCAATCTCCATGCTCATCTTAGCATAGAGTAAGAATTTTATAGATGATAGCTGACAGTGAGTAATATCGATGCTGTCCTTGGCTGCACTTATTGACTATCAGTTTATCCAACAAGTATTTATTGTGCTGGGAGGTCCCTATGCTCCCACGGCTCACAGCCCATTATAGATAGAGGGTATTCTCTGCCAGGTACGCAGAGGGTTGAATGTTAACGTCAACGGCATAACCCAGGAGTGATGAGAATACAGGAACACAGTGAAAAACAATGTATTTGAGTTTCTGAAAGGGGAAGGGAAGAGAATGGGAGAGTGGGAGCTAGAAAACAGGCCTCCCAGAAGAGAAAAAGAGAGTGCAGAATGACGAGGAAATCTGCATGACCCCTGGGGCAGAGAACACTGCATCAACAATGGCTGGAAGGTACACGAACCACCCAGTGCTGGAAAGGAAGAAGTTTGGGGCACATGAGGGGGGATGAGATTAAAAGCAAAGAATAGGAAATGATCTTACTGGGAACTCCATGGATCCCCCAGAGTGTGCTCCTCAGCATGACAGGAAATGACATCAACTCACCCAGCAGATGGCTTCAGGGGCTGGAGGCAGAAGGACTGCACTATTCCTACTGCAGGGAAATAAGACCTATTTCTTAGTGTTGCCTATAAGAAAGGCTACTGGCAGTTCTCGTCAACGGGCCATCCTGGGCCATCCCGACCTCCATGGTCAGTGCCTGAGGGACAGATCCGATTAGCTACTTGGATATTACAGCAACCTCCTCAGACAGGACTTCCATGACGACAATGGTCTTCAAATGAGCAGCCTCTGGGCACCACCCTGAATCTAGTCCCTTCCACTCTAGGAGTAAGTGACTTCACCAGAAAGAGCGCCCTCTACCTTCCGGTTAGAATTTCTCTGTGTATGTGTATACCAGCTGCCAGTGTGAGCCTGGGCTTGAAAGCTCTTGAGATTTCAGCTGCCACTCTCTTCCAGGAAGGTAGCAGGGCACTGGCAAAGAAGTGTTAATAGAGGCTGGGGATATGTCTCAGTCTGTACAGTGCTTTCAAGACTAGTTTGGTCCCCAGAACCCATGTGGAAAAAAGCCAGACCTGGTGGGTATGCATTTGTAATCCCAATGTTGGGAAGGAGGCAGGGTGATTCCTGGGGGCTGTTGGCCAGCATCATGGCCTAGTTGGTGAGTTCTAGACCAGTGAGAGAACTTGTCTCAAAAAAAAAAAATGACTGGCACTGGAGAAATGATACCCAAGATTGTCCTCTCACCTCCAAACATATATGCAAAGCACTCAAACACACATGTGTACCCAAATACCTCCACGGTCACATACACAAAAGGAGGGCCATCTCCTCAGCCAGCAGTCTATAGCATCTTATAGTGCAGAAGTGGGCAAACAGCTTCCATTCTCTGAGCAAAGTAGCAAGCATAGGTGTCACAGAGCATCCAGGAGAGACCAGAACTGCCCCCCATGGTGCTCTCTGCTCATAGCTACACAGGCCTGTGGAGTGTCTGCCAAAGACTCCTGTAACTCCGATCCCTAAGTTCACAATATTACCATGACCCCCTATAACCCACGAGTGTCTGGGGGCATACAGGAAAACACACCGCTCTGTCTAGTAATGGTTATTATCAGGCAAGATCACTGTGATGCATGCATTAGCCAGAGGGCACCATCAGTTAGCACAAACGAGTGAGCCACAAAAGAAGCTCCCTGTGACACAGGAGCGGAGCACTAGATGAAATGTCATGTTTTCCTAATTTATGACTAAATCAGGGTAGAAAAGCTATGATTAAGGTGGGAAGTAAGTCTTCCTGCCACCTCTGCCATTTGGCTCCTTTTTACAGAATGACCCATGCTACCACTTTCTTGTGTATCATGCTGCCAAGATTCTACACATAGTAAACTTGCATGTGCACACACATGTACATACATGGATACCCACATGGATGCATATAATTATTCCGATGTACTTATAATCAAATGTAATTGGTAGCAAGCATATCCACAGTTCTAGAACTTGAATTTTACAAAATGGACAAAATGTCTTAAGATGGATTGATATCAGTTCATAATAACTGATTATTCTTCTTAATCATGGTGTAATAGTCCACTACTCATATTTAAAAGGAATGTTATAGCCAGGCATGGTAGCACACACCTTTAATCACAAGGCAGAGGCAGAGGAGGCAGAGGAGGCAGAGGAGGCAGAGGCAAGGATCTCTGTAAGTTTAAAGCCAGCCTGGTCTATATAGCGAGTCCCAGGACAGCCAGAGTTACATAGTGAAGACATAGTGAGACTCTGTCTCAAAAAACAAAAACAAAAACAAAAACAAAAGAAAGGAAGAAAGGAAGAAAAAGAAACTGTGCTTTTTATAATCTCTTGGTTTTATAACTGATTCTTCACTTATGTAACCATACAGAATGTTCATCATTTCACATGTACAGGTCTATCTTTAGAATACATTCTTAGAGGTACTATGAGTATAATTTAGGAGTCAAACAGCATGTAAAAATTTGAGTTTCACAGGCATCTCCACATTATTCTCTCCAGGGATCTGCAATAAATTAACACATGTGCCTGACTCTGGCTCTGGCCTCCTCCTTTGTGCTGTTCAGGTACTTTACATCCGCACAGCTCTACCTGGTCACATCTACATGAATATTTATTTAAATGTAGACAGTCAGTCCTCTGTTACTCACTTTTCCTGGAAACTTTCTGCCCTCGTTTTTAAAAGTGTTCACACAATTGTGCTCACACAATAATAGCTAACATGCATATGACCAGTGTTTTCTGTGTACCAAACATCAGACTTGGCCTTTGAAAATATGTCAGCTGATGGAATTATGACTTGTCTCTGAGGCACACACTATGAGCTATTTTTCCATAAGTAGACACTTAGGTTTAAGCCAAGCCCATGCCTAGAGACAGTGGAGAATCAGTGGGCATGTGGAGGCTGGCGCTCTCTCTATCCAATGCTGCCCTAGTCAACATGCTCTAGTACTCAGTGCCACCATACCTGGCTGTCTGGGGACACGGTGACTGAACGCAGGAACTTGGTGCGGCCCAGGTGCTCCAGCAGAGCCCATACCGCCTCCAAGTGTTTGGTGGAGGCCAGCAGTTACAATGCAAAACAAGAGTCTGCCCAACCACATGACAATCCTGGCATCTAAGCATAAGATTTATTTTTGTGACTTTTAAAAAGGACTTTTTATTTATTTTATGTAGTGTTATGACTGCATGTATCCCCACAGGCCAGCAGAGGGCACCAGATCTCACTTTAGGTGGTTGTGAGCCACCATGTGGTTGCTGGAGATTGGACTTGTGAAAGAGTAGCCAGCGCTCTTACACTTTGAGCCATTTCACCAGCTCTCTATTCTTATGATTTTTAAAACCTTTTCGTTTGTTTTTGAGACAAAGAATATGTAGACTTTTTGAATGCCTCATGATTCTCCTGTCTCTGCCTCCTTTGGTTTCTAAATCTTTGATTTGAATGATTAATTCATTTGAATTTCAGGATGTCTCATCTGCTAACATGAATAACTGAACCTTTATATTTTTCTTTGAGTACCATTTTAACTATGCCTCAAAGTTTTTTTGAATAGTGTAGTATGTGAGTACCACAGGTTACCAGCATGTCCCCTTTGCTGTTAGAAATCTGTGCCATGTAAGACACAGAATTCATGTTTATGAAATTTAGGTTTTCCACTCAATACTATGGTATGTTCTTCCTTTTTTGTTTTTATTTTTGTTTTCTTTTCAAGACAGGCTTTCTCTATGTAACATTCCTGGCTGAGACTAGGCTGGCCTAGAACTCACTAGATCCCCCTGCCTCTGCCTCTGCCTCCCAAATGCTGGGATTAAAGGTGGACAGCACCACCATCAAGCTTGTTCTTCTATTTTTTAAACTAAATACGTTTAATAGTAGATGTACGTATTTAGTTTTATATATATATATATAATATATATATATATATATTATCTTTGTTAAATTTTCGTTTTAGTGAACTTTTGTTTTCTGTAGAAGAAATCATAGTAGATATGATTTCTGACTAATTGTTATTGGAACATCAACACCATCTCTGATGCAGGAAGCTGACATAGGAGGAGTCCAAGTTCAAGGTCAGTCTGAGCTACAAAGCAAGAACTTGTCTCAAGAGCTAAAACAAACAAAACAGAACAAAAGAAAAAACCATAATGATGTAATCATGGAATTATCAGAATTAGTTTTTAAGTAACTTAATAGTCTGGCTCACACTGCGTCCTCACACTGTGCAGCACAGAGCCTACCTGGGTCCCCAGAGCCGTCACTGTTCCTCTCGCTCTCCCCGTCTTCCTGGCCATCTGCATTCTGCTGGGTGTGCTGCAGGCTCAGCTTGTGGCAGACCTCAAAGGCCTGTCCCACGGTCCTTACGATTCTCATAGCTTGACTCTGGGGAAGGCAGACGGAAAAGAGAGAGTGAAGGGTGCAGACTATACAAGGACATAGCAAAGGTCGGTGTGGCTGAGGATGTGTAAGGTGGCCAGGAGCCCACGCTGCCAGACAAGGAAAGGTGGAAAAACGGAGACTCCTCAAATGTACACGTACTCTAGAAACAACACCTACGTCACCACAGTTCTGATCATCAACTGAAAACAGGTGTCAGGGGCAAGTGGTCCAATTCTGGACTTTGTCCCATGTGTCTCTCTAGTTCTGATCCTTTAGAATATGTCAACCAGCCACTACCAAATGTCCAAAGAGCCCACCAACCTAGGAGGGATTCAGCCATCTTCTTACTTCAAATGGCAAGTTAATATAGCCCACCAACTACAATTTGTGCTGTCCATATACTTTTGTGGGGCCATCCAGTAGAGTGTGGGTAACTTCACCAGGAGCTACACCTTTAAGGAAAACCAACTGTTCCACCCCCAGAAACCATAAAGTGTCCCTAGCTCCTCAGTTAGGGGTGGACTCACAAACCCCTCCCACTCTAGAGGAGGGGTGCTGTGAGTTCATGAATGCAACTACATCACTTGTGACCATGAGGATGCTCCCTGGTCAGGGCTGGACCAGGAAGCTCCACCCTCAGATAAAAAGAACCCTTGCTGCAGCCTCAGTGATGATACCATGCTCACCTGCTAGTTTTCCCTACTTCTCTCCTTTCTGAAAAGAAGAGCAGACTGCCTATGGCTTCTCAGCCTTTCACAGCAAAGCTCATTCGCCAAGTCACTGTAGGTGTGGCTTTCGTCTGTCTGCCACTGTCCCTTACACAGAAGATTTTACCCCCCCCTTCCCCACTAACTTTTGCAGAGTTTCCTCTCCTAGACATCTTTACATGAACCTAAATGCTTTAGGTTCTCAAAAATAAAAATAGGTAAGACTAAGCTTTTGTTTTATTTTCAGACAGGTTTTCTCTATGTAGCCCTGGCTGAGTAGTCCTGGAACTCACTCTGTAGACCAGACTGGACTCAAACTCACAGAGATCCGCCTGCCTCTGCCTCTGCCTCTACCTCTTGAGTACTGGGATCAAAGGTGTGCACCACCACCACCACCCAGCTGAGAAATATATAAAGACCAAGAGTTTAATTCCATGACTTTCTTATATAAATTAACCCAGTGAGCTCAGAGTAAATATTTTCCAGGAATGAGCCAGTTTTCCCCATCATTCCCAGAGTCAAGAGTCCGTTTCCCTCTGTAAAATATAGTCCTTCCTGTTCACCATTCTGGGGGTCAAAACTCAACGAGATGGCTCCTAGCACTCTACATCAACAGCTAGATTGGGTTCAGATGCCCTTTGACCGCTAAGACTTTCTTTTCATCACCACTGAAAAGTGTTTTTAGAGGACTTTATAAGAGGACCTTGGATGTAGAGCAATTACTGGAAGGCAGCCAGCAGGGGCTGATCCTCTCTCAGCTACTCCCTGTGCTGTCCAGTGGGTTCCTTTCTATAGGCTAACCTCACTTGGTGATCCTAGGAATAAAAACTGTTTGCTGCCCTGAAATGCAGGAGTCATACATGCTGGGACTTCATAGAAGGCCATGTCTGAACCTAAGAGGGAGAACTTGATTAAAGAGAGGCTTTAAAATGAACTCTCTCAGAGGTTTCCATGAAGACTTTAGGTCTACTGGATCACATGGAAGCAGCTGCCCAGATCGCATGACTTTTGGAAATCAAAGTGAAGCTTTAAAGATTACAGGCATTCATGCGTACATCGGAGCCAGCAAGTGGACTATCAGGAAGACAGCCTTTTCCAGCTTTCAGAGATCTGGCCACTCTTTGGGATTTACTAGATTGGGGAGCGGAGGCAGGGGAAACATCATTATACCACATGATTTTTGTATAAATCTATCTTAGTTTTACATAATCCTCTGAAAGTGCTGGGTGGCACATGGACCAAATCTTCCTGTTCAGAAGCCAATTTCTCTTAGTAGCCCAAAGCATGTGTGGCCTCGTGGTTATCAAGATTGGCTTGGATATGGCTGCTTTGATGTTTTCAGAACTGGAAAGGAATACCTAACCTAGAGTGGCTCTCAGCAGCAGATGGAGAGCACTGTCACTCACTGGAAGTGCCAATTATAGGCACTTTTGTGAAAACAGGCCTGGAAAGGCAGCTACCTTAAAACCTGAAGCATTTGGTTCCACCCATCTCTCTTTCCTCTTGATAGAAGCCCTCTCCCAGCCTACGACACTTCTCACCCTCGTACAGAAACCAAGTCAAGATGGATGAATGGCTATTCTCCTCATTATGCCTAATGTGGGCTTCAACATAGCAGGTGTCAATATCGGATAAACTGCTGCAATGAATGGTGACTGCAGATAGGCTAACCATTCTCTGTGAGTGTAGGCTATCTGCTCAAAAGCAAACAAGGCTGCTATATTAGCTTTAGGGAGACATAAATCAAATGTTGATTCCTATACTTGGCCACAGGAAAATCAGGTATAATACCATTTCATCTTCTCAGTCTAATGAGCCTGCTGCTGGTTGGCTATATACACATGGGAGTCTTTTCAGTGCTGTGTACATGTAAAACAGGGTTTGATTAGTCAGATCCTAAAGGTGACTTGATAATTGCTGGCACTCTTCTGAATTTCACTGCAAGATGCACAAGAGACGGAGAGAAGATGAAGCTGCCAGTGATGAGAAAAAGGAAAAAGAGTGAGGGCGCATTCTGCCAAGAAGCTTTGCTATTGGCCTACTACCCCTCTCCTCTGCTCTGTGGCTACCCACCTCTCCATCTTCTGAGCACTGGGATTTGTCTTCCAAGGACTTCTGAGTTCTAGGGAATTGACTTCCATAAAGTCAGTTGTGCAATGACTTTTGTAATTCTCACCTGCCACAGCAATAAAGTACAGTGCTTTTATGTTGAACTCAACAACCTCAGAATCTCAACAAAAATAGAACTGAATGTCATGTTTCTTTAATGTATCCTTTAAAGGTATCTCAGAAAGGAGATAGGGAGACGTCTCAGCTGGGAACGTGTTTGCCACATAAGCATGAGGGCCGGAGTTTGATTTTCAGAATATACAAAACAAATACACACACACACACACACACACACACACACACACACAGAGAGAGAGAGAGAGAGAGAGAGAGAGAGAGAGAGAGAGAGGGCAGAAGAGGTAGAGAGACAGAGAGAGTTTGAACATGAGGCATAATGGCTCAAGTTTATAATTAATCCCAGCATCATGGAGATGGACACAGGTGTATTCCTTGGGCTTGTTGGCTAGCCACCCTAGCCTAATGAACAAGTTCCAGGCCAATGAAGAGACTCTGTTTCAAAAAAACAAAACAAAACAAAACAAAAAAAACAAGCTGGATGGTGCCTGAGGAATGACCCCTGGTCTCTGCACGGACATAAACACCCACCATTCATGCAAAATAAAATCAAGTGACTACAAGCTGAAGCATGAATATATTTATATGTGAACATATATATGATATGTAAAGTACTAAGGGTTTGAAATAAATGATAGTTGGGTCAGGATTTGTCTACTATGTTACTGATGGCTTGGTTATATAATTTGATAGACGGACTTCCTTGGACCATGAATCACTACCCACTATAGAAAGTTAACTTTCAAAGTGGGTCCAATTTTCAACACTGACAGGAAATAATGGTCATAATCTCAGTGCTGTCAGTAACCAGCTGGAGGACAAGGGACAAGTTAACTCACCTTCCCAAGTGTTACTAGACACTTGTCCCTTTTTGCAATAATTTATTTTTATTTTCTGTGCATTGGTATTTTGTCTGCATGTATATCTGTGTGAGGTGTTGGATCCCCTGGAACTAGAGTTGCAGACAGTTGTGAGCTGCTATGTGGGTGCTGGGAATCAAACCCGGGTCTTTGGAAGAGCAGACAGTGCTCTTAACCTCTGAGCCATCTTTCCAGCCCAACACTTGTCATTCTTTAGTACATGACTGTCACCATCCTTCCAAATCTACTGTAACTTCTAAAGGACAGTTCAGCTTTACAACTGTGGACCCCAGTTTGCTGACAAGAAGCAAGAAACTTCTCCTTACTGAAGCCAACCAAACTGTTAATTGCAAGAAGAAAAAATGATGTCAAGGAGTTGCCTTTGCAGTTGGTAGAACTCCCCGCAGCTCCTGCTAACCACTAACAACGCCTGAGGAAATGCGATAATAAGCACGGTCATGTGTATGAGGCACAGTGCATCCTCCTGGGGCTGTGGAAACACGCCGGAAGGTGCTATCCACACCACAGGACAGGTGGAGAGGACAGGCCAGAAGCTGCTCAAGAGAGGAACGGTCTTGCAAATGATACTATCATTATATCCCAGAAGGAGGGAAGTGCAGGAAACACCAATTTACTAGGAAGTCTTTATCAGGGGCTTCCACTACTTCCTAGAGCCAGTGGAAAGATGCTGGGACCTCTTCACTCCAACCCTGGCATGCAGAATTTTCTCCTTAAGGTCAGGAACCCCAGTCCACAGCATACACAACAATCTGCATTCCTCACAAGCCTTTCGCCTTATTGGATGACTGGAGGACTCAAGTCAGCACTGAGAGGTTCCTGGGGTTTCTCTCAGGTCACAAGGTTAGTGGTCACAGCCTTGGGCTGGGAAGTAGGAAGCCTACCTAGTTTTAATATCAGTGGCTTTATCTATTCACTGTGTGACCAGGGGGAATTATAACTATCCTGGACCCTTTCTTTTCTTTCTCTCTTTTTTTCTTTTTTTGAGACAGGTTTTTTTTCTCTGTAGCTTTGGAGGCTGTCCTGGAATTTGTTCAGTAGACCAGGTTAGCCTTGAACTCACAGAGATCTGCCTGTCTCTGCCTCCTGAGTACTGTGATTAAAGGCCTGTGCCACCACTGCCTGGCTCCTGGGCCCTTTGTTTTGCCAATTATAAATTGGGGACAAACCATTGTTAACCATATAAAGACACAATGGGGAGAATTTCTATGTCACAGTGAGTTGGGGCACTCAAAGTTAAGGAGTTCATTATAACCAAGTAGTAACTATAGTAAAAGCCACTACAATCTGGCCTTGGGGACCAAGGCTAAACCTTAGGTACATAATTAATTTTTTTTGAGACAGGGATTCCCTGTGTAGTCTTGGAACTAGACTAGGCTGGCCTCAAACTCAGATATCTGCCTGCCTCTACCTCTGCCTCCTGAGTGCTAGGATTAAAGGCGTGTGTTAACAATCTGCTGTCTAGCTTCCAGTGAGAGCCCAGCAGTTGCAAGTTAAAATCCCCAAGATGAGAAACACACTGTTCATTCATGTCTCTTTATGTAGCCCTGTCTGGTCTAGGCAACCTATTTTCTATAGTAAGGGTGACACTGCATTAGAGGCCTGTCATAGGAAACACGTCACTGGCACACAGAGAGACACAGTGTGATGTGGAACAGTGATAACTAAATCTTAGGCACAACAAGACATTTATTCAGGGCTTTTCTATGCTGTGATCAATCTGAGAACTTGGGAGAGCCTCAGATCTGCTGGCTTCCCATCAACAGGTCTCTAATGTGACTTTAATGGTCCATAACCATCCTTGCAAGACACATTTCCTTAAGGTCTATAGTCCTTTCCTCTCATCTCTTAAATATGCTTGTGATTTGCCAATTAAAACTCCTTCCCAAGCTACTATCTCCCGAAACCAGAAGGGCTTTGTAAGAAAGTTAAACACTTATTTGGAGGTCAACCAGGAGGGTGTGCAAAACCTCCCAGACACATTCCCCACCACTCCCAAATTGGGTTTCCTTTGCTGAACAATTCCTTGCTCTTTCCTGGCTTGGGAACTGGTCTTCCCGTCTAGAGTTCAGCAGTAACAGAGCTCACAGTCCAGGCGGTCTGGAAATAATTCTCCTAGCTGCATGGCTGCAGGCCAGCACAGGGCCTGAGAACCAACCCCATGAAGAGCCGCAGACTTAGATAAGGGCAAAATGAATAGAGGAAACAGAAGAGCCAGAAAATGAGAAGTAGCTCTGAGAGCTAGGAGGTGGGAAAAAGCGGGGTGACCGACGCTGAGTAAGTGTTATTGGTCAGTAGGAACTTGGTTCGGCACCTAACTCCAAGACCCAGGTTCTTGGTGGAGGTCATTCTCACACTCTGGTTTGGCAGTAGGACACCCAGCCTGCCTGTGCCACCAGACTAGATCCCCAAAAGAACCCAGGATCTCCTTCACCTATGTTTCTTGCTCAAAATCCTTTCACTCTGTATGTTTTCTTGGTTCTAGCTACTGGCCTTCTAGAAGAACCTGGCAAGTCACTTAGGCTGTCCCCACTTACTATCTATGAAAATGAGGATAAAAGGGCTTATTTTTTCCTTTCTTACATACACATTATAAATATAAAATGATATAAACAATTGAGCAGTTGGTAAATGTACTCTAAGGTGTACACAGTCTATGTACAAGACTGTAATCACTGCATAGGTAAGAACTCAACACGAAGTGTGTGGGGGGGTGATCACTCTGGGGTGGCATGCCAGAGACCACTGCAGACATTCCAATTGATACCCATCAGGGACACTTTGTATTCTTTTCCTCTCTTCTCAGAGCTCTCACTCTCCTAGTCCCTAAACCCATACATCGCCAGTGACTAGGCCTTATTTCCTCTCCTTCTTCCTACTCAAGTTCCCATAAGTTCTAATATACAATCTAATATGGCCTCACTTACATCCCCTGCCCTTTCAACTGTTATGTAGACGTTAAGTCTGGCAACCCATTCACCTTCTCATCAAAGAAGTTACTGCTTGTTTCCTACTGCTAGACTTCTTTCCAGGTCTAGCACTTTGTACCCAATTCTATGGCATATTTTAAAAGGGCCTGAGAACTGAAGATGTAGCTCAATGATAGACCCATGGTAAAAGGTCCTAAACCTTCCTCTCATAATCAATCAATCAATCAATCAATCAATCAATCAAAGGCCTAAAAACAGAGTATGTTAGGGCACAAATCACCTTAGAGAGCATGGCAAGTTAGCAGTGTGTTCCTCTTTCATGGGAAATGAGACACCTATGATACAAGTTGAGAAGGCTTCATTTGGTAATTTTTAGACCATATGATGGTGCAAAAGCTATACATACACACATATGTATACATATATACATACACACAGTAGAAATTATACTTCAAAACTTGATTTTTTCCCTAGATTAATGGTATACAGTAGGAAATGCCCATGACACTGGACAGTGGCAGCCAGCCACAGCTCCTGGAAATGACCAGTCTACAAGTACCGCATTGCTGAGCAATAATGTATGCTATATTGGATATATTAAATACATTTTCAATTTATAATAGTTTCAACTTAAGATGGGCTAATCATGACATAACCTCCATCATGTCAAGAAACGCCTGTACTAGTAAATTTTGACCTGTTGGGTTTCATCCGTAGTACCCCATGTGATCAAGTCAAGTACCTATGAATCTACTAACAATGCCTTAAGGCATTAGATGGAATGTGCAGGAAGGAGACTGGAAGTGTTAAGGGAAGCCAGACTTAATGGTTTCTCTCTGTAAGAACTTTAAGGCTTTAGAAACCACTGTAGTGCTTTCCAAAAACACACACTGTAGGGAAAACTGAGGTTCTGTAGCCAAATCAGTTTTTGAAATGTTAGATTAAACAAGTTAAGGGGCTTCCTTAATTTCAGGACCTCTCAGAGACTTAAATATGGTAGTTTTAACATGGAACACTTTGGATGATAAATGTTTAAAAAAATACATTTGTTTTTAGAAAATGCTGGTTTTAAGGCATCAGAGAAAGTAGGAAGGGAACATGAGGGGATAACTGGAATGAATATAATTGAAATATATATGCATGTATGAAAATGTCATAATGAATTTCATTGCTATGTATAATTTATAATTACTATATGCTAATGAAACATTTTAAAAAGAAAATGCTAATTTTGTCTACCATCAATATATCTTCAAAGAAGCTGAGACTTGGTGGGGTGGCAATTGACTCATTCTGGACCACAGTAGGAGGGTGGGATAAATTCTAGGTTTTCTACTCTCCAGGCAGGCATTCCAAACCCTAGTTCTGTGTGTCAGGACCCTGGAAGAATGACACACAGAGAGGGCACCTCTATAGAAGTGTGAAAATTACATTTACTCAGAGTCAAGGTTACCATATTAAAATAATTTGCCACGACAGCCAATATCATACCCTAAGCTATGCTAGATTCCCCATGTCATGATTTTACTAATACAGCTGGCCTGCTGATTGACATGCAAGATTTGGGTGAAGGGTCACCTTAGTTAATGCTTCTTTCCTGCAAGATAAGGTCAGCATTATTGCCAGTCCTGTCTATCTGGTCCTCTCTCCAAAGATATATCAAACAGCAGACCCCTCTCTATTGCTATGTGTAACTAAGTACAAAGTTCAAACGACATTAAAATCAAAGAGGGTTTCATCCTATTGGAGCAATGACAGATGATTAATGCCATGTTGCCAGTTGTGGTATTAAAACATCCACTTGCAAAACTTAAACAAGGAGACAAGCCGATGACAGGTATCTTGGTGAATAACTGATGCGTAGTCCATAAGGTTAGGATAACATTTAATAGATAAATGCCAACCAACAGGAAGCCAGAGCATGCCAAAGCAGCAAGGCCAGAGAGCTACCATGTGCTTTGTCTGTCCCTTTAAAACTCTACCACGTCATTCTGACATCACCCTGACCACACCCTGACAGGTGTGGTCAGGCACACTTGTAGCCAGCCCTTAGGAGGCTTGGTTACAGTGTCTCCCTACAGATAGGTATGTGCTGGGACCATCAGAGAGAAAAGGACTAGCAGAGGACTGATGACAGCCCCCTTACCTTCTTCTTGGATTTAAAGACGTTACACCTGAAGATATTGCTGGCACCATCTCGAGCAATATAGCTGAAGATTTTCAAGTCTTGGGAATCATGAGAGACGTAGAAGATCCTAGGGAGGTAAAAACAACAACAGAAAAACACACTAAATGTGGCATTCAGTCCAGAGTGTCAACAGCAAACCTCTGACCATGGAGAGGCAGAAGGCAGAGTCCACTGATATCAACCGATCAAAGAAAGTCTTTTTCCTGTGGGATCAAAAAGCAGCTATGCAGGAGGCACTTTCCATAGGCTCTACAAATATGGCTGCTCCTGGGAGGGGCTCCCAGCTTTGGAAGAGCAGGCATAGTAGGGTGTGGAGACCACATTATTATTGACTACATCCTGAGGTGGCAAACCTGCTTCAGGTAACTAGTCTTTTGGAAGGGGTGGGAGGAAGTTCTCATCTTTGTCTGAGCAATAAATCTATATTAAATCCAGGGAAATGCACACAAGTTTTCAGAGACCCGCTCACATTTATTCCCAATGAAGGAGTCTTGGGAAATTAACAATTGGACCATGTTGGGAAATCTAAGACACTGGCATTATTACAGGTCTCCTGGTGATAGTGACTCCATTTTCCCCCACCCTCTACCATATTCATCATGAGTCTTAGAAAGCATGGGTAGCCAGGTGTTATCACAGCAGCAGGGCACGGAGTGCTCCTGAGTACACAGGAGTTCCGTGTACATAACAAGACACAAGAAGCTGTGCTATGATGAAAAATCCACCAGAATAAGGGGCAGAGTATGATGGAGGCTGCTGTTTTAGAACCAAACAATGGCCAAACCATGTCATAGTGATTCAGAGACCTAGATGGCATCTGAAATGCAATTGTGGAGATTTCTGGGCAAACACTATAAGAAGAGAGAACAGAAATATTTTGAGCCCTACAAAGCACTAGAAAGTGCTAAGAGGACCTGAAAAATTACCAGTGTGATTCAAGCAGGATCACAGAATGACCCAAGGTCAGAACACAGATGAAGTTCAGAGCTTGTGTTCTAAGTTGAAGACCAGAGGCTACTGTGGGCTCCTGAACTGATGACTAACTTCTTCATGCTTAGAACCCAAAGTTCCCTCTGACTGCTTGGGACTTTACAGAGGTAGGGGCAAAGGTGGAGGCAGAAGTAAAAGGGGAAAGATAAAAGTTGTCCTAGTGGCTGAGTCTTACCAAGGGCTAGTCCAGGGTGCTATGGGAGCATACAGGGAGAGGGGAGGTCTGTGGGGTTAGCTTTGAGTGATTGGAGTACAGCAGTTAATGAATTCCACTGGGGTCACAAGCTTTTCACAATTTTTTTCTCTCAATAATAACATCAACGACATTGGTAACTTCGATAGGTAAGTTTCTCTCTCTCTCTCTCTCTCTCTCTCTCTCTCTCTCTCTCTCTCTCTCCTGAGTCAGGGTCTTGTTATGTAACCCTAAAACTCCTACATAGCCTAGGCTGACCTCAAACTCAAGGCTATCTTCTTCCCTTAGCCTCCTGAGTGTTAGAATTATAGGTGTACAGAGATGTATACTACAACACCTGACAACAGGCCCATTAAAAAAATGTGTTAAGTATATAAAGAAAAGCATGGAATTTAGTGTCTACAGATTTGTATGTTTGTTATTCAATGCACCAGAGCGATGGAACCATTTAGAAGCTTAAATGTGTTGTCTATAAAGTGCGGCTGTTCATAGAAATCTTGTGTGGTTATCAAGACAAAGAAATGTTTAGTAATATGCCGTTTTACTTCTCTTTACAAATGTGGCTTCTAAGTAGTTTAGAAACTGGGACCACTTACAGAAATCCTGGAGAAATACTAAACAGAAAAGTGGGTTGAGACTAAGAATGCTGCAAAGGACCCTGGGAAGGGAATCACAATTCCTCCACCTAACTCTTTTCGGGGCATTTCAGTGAGTCTCCTATACCCACTACCTTGAAATAATCTTCAAATACACAACATAGCTTCGCAGAGAGCTAATCTAATGTTTCTGGGCACACAGGATCTTTCTTCGCCTTCTAAATATGCCAAATTCTACTCATATCAAAGGAATAAGCAAGCCAACAGCTGAGCTTCTCCTAATTGAACTCCATGCTCATGTAGCAAAACCCCTACACATCCTCCCTTCTGAAGACTCTCAAGCTTCTCAAACTCACCTGACTGCTACCTGAATTCACCACCGGCCCCTCCCTGCCACTGTCCTCTGCACAGCCTCGATGAACACAGTGACCACTCAAGGCAGAAATCTAGGGACCAGTCGAGAATCCTTCCTCCACCGTTGCCAGTACCTGTTCCTCACAATCAAGTTCCTCAGGACATCTCTCCAGGGTGTCTCTCATTTGTTTTTCTCATCCCCATAGTCTGCTTTTGTCCTCATTTTTCAGTTGGATTGGTGCAAAGTCTTCCCTGTGATGTGTCTCTGTTTCCTACCTCACTGCCAATCCATTCTTTACAGCGCTAGCAGTGATCTTTTTAAAAACATGTTACACTCCACTATTTTTATCCTAAAACCATCTAAAGGCTTCCTACTGTCTGCAGGATAAAGCTACCCCCCACCACACACCCCTACCAAGGAGTATCTGTCCTGTTTCCATCTCATTCCAGAGCCCTGACCGACATACCCAGGTCTGCAGAGCTAACTACACAATCCTCCTGAGTTTGCGATCCCCGGGGTCGCTCTGCAGAGCCTTTAAGACTTGGATCACAGAAACCTTCTTTCCCCTCAGCACTCTGAGCTGCTTAAACCCCTGGGGCTCACTTGTGTCATAGCATGCATCACACTATGACATTTGTACAGAAGCTCTTTGAAGAAATAAGGACTCATCTTGGCATTCCCAGGGCCAGTGCAGAGACTGGCATGTGGGAGACAGGCATTCCCACCGTCATTAATGAGAACCCGTAATGTAGTCTGCCCAGCTACTCATTTTCCCTGCAGGAAGTCAGGGCTAGTTAGTTCAGATGTATCACACATAAAACTCCTTTGATCAAGTTTTTAATTTATTATGTAATGCCCTTAAGGACTGAGAACTGGATTTAAAACTGATACAGCAGAGATGAATGTGAACCAGCAAGCCAGCAAGACACAGAGATACAGCAAGTACGAAGGGGCAGCAGCGAGCTAAGGTTAATGTAACCTTGATAGGCAGAGCTCCTTTTCAGGTCATCTGCTGACAACCTCTGCACAGAAGCTGTCACTCTTTTTGCACTGTAGTTCTCTGGAGAACACTCTGCTTGTTGTATCTGAGTTCAGAAGTGTCATGTATTGTCATAAAAGGTAATCTCTATGCAGCCAAAAATAATTATTTGGTGAATGCAGAAAACTTACTGCCAACAGGACCAAGAAGTAGGAAGCTTTCCCACAGGACCTCATTCCTCAGCAAATGTCTAAATTCAGAAATTAAAGGCTCAGCTCTAGACTTCTAGATATAGAAATGCACACTAAGAACCTTCATTCTCCATTGCTTGGTTTGCTTAAGAACTGTGGTTGGGAGCAGTGGTCAAAACTGGGGAGGGAGGAGGAATGTATTTCAGGGATTTACCTTCTCTTTCCTTCTCCATCTTTCTTCATCTTTATTCTTAAGACTAGGGTGGTTCTGAACCTGAGATCTTCACAGTATTTTGCATAAACTACACTTGGTGTCTATCATCATGTTGGGATTCAGGTGGACAAAAGCGATAAAGACCCATAAGACACCCACCAATATTCCTCCCCCTCTTCCTGGACTAATAATTTGCAGGTAAAATTGTGCTTCTATTGAGGGTGGTGGTCACGGAATAAAAACAGAATTTCATATTAAAACAAAACAACAACAAAACCCAACATCCATGGATACATCAAGCTTGGAACCCAACATCTCTGCCAGTCAGGATTTGTCAGTGATAGGCAATTCACATCCTGAGAGAGCATCTATTTCCTTTGGGAAGGTCCTAATTATTTGGAAATGTTCCCTTACATTGATTGGAAATCTACCCACAGGAATTCAGTGAAGGAAAATGGGTACGAAGGCAGCCCTAGGGTAGGGCAGACCTAGATTTCAGCAGAGGCTTTGCAGTTGGCTAGCTGTAAGGGTTCTGTGCTTATCCACATCTCCCCCCTGCTCCGGCTCCTGTGAAATGGGGGTGGTCATACTGCTGACCCTCACTCAACAGTGCTGAAAGAAAGGGGTGCAGGGGACTGACTTAGAGTGAGTGGTTGACAAATGGCAGCTTCTCAGACTAGGTCCACATTTTCTACCTTTGTTATCTACTCTGACACTTTAACTAAACCTCTCCAATTGGCAATGTCTTCAATATTTGTATCCAACTACCACGTTTATATTTGCTAATTCCTTCTTAAAGAGAAACATTTCCTCTTCCTTCAGTAGTTTAACTAACCCATTCCCAGATCTCTTTTTGCTCTGGCAGCTTGGTACTTAGGAAAGAATAAGAGTTTTGGGACAAGAAAAATCCAGGCTCAGCCGGGCAGTGGTGGCACACTCCATCAATCCCAGCACTCGGGAGGCAGAGGCAGACAGATCTCCATGAGTTCGAGGCCAGCCTGGTCTACAGAGCAAGTTTCAGGACAGGCTCCAAAGCTAAACAGAGAAATCCTGTCTTGAAAAAACAAAAGAGGAAAGAAAGATAGATAGGTAGACAGACAGATGCAGGCTCAAGTCATAGGTCTGCTACTTCTTAGCTGTTGGGCTTAAGCAAGATACTTTATAACATTTTGTTCCTGCATCTAAAACAGCACAGTAATGACTTCTATCTGGCATTATCTTAAGTGTTAACATATTTATATTGTATGCCTACCACACAATGAGCTGCTTGCTCATAAACTGAAGTGTCACTTTCCTTTTTAACCTTTTATAGACATGTAACAATTTCCCTTGAAATGCAGTTCACAGAGCCAAGTGCACTTCCATAAGGCAATCTAGCAACACAGACAATATCTTTTGATGAATATTTTCCATGACTGAGAGCTGAATTTTCAACAGAGCATCTCTGGTGTTTCTTTAGTTACAGTGTGTCACCACTGGCTCTAGTTACAGTGTGTCACCGCTGGCTCTAGTTACAGTGTGTCACCGCTGGTTCTACTTAGTGTGTCAC